CGTGGCCACAGTAATTCCTCGCTCAATTCATCTTCAGCATTTGCTTGAATTTAGACGTTGGTTTGTGAGGACAACAGAAACTACTTTGCCAATGTATGTTTGCCAAATTAGCGTTAGTGGCACACAGTGCATGATTAACAATTTGATACAGAGACTGAATGCGTTATGTAACGTGTGTCCATGGGAAATACAACCAACGCACCGTTGTCCCTTCGTAACTTTAAGTGCAAAAACAAATGACTGCTATAACTTATCATAACAATACTAAATGCACACTATGAAAGTGATTAATAATAAAGACAAATGTATAATATTACATATCTAACGTCGATTAGAGATCTTCAAAACATTGTTTTGGAAAAATCCCAGCACCGTACATCGGCTTAATTATATTTGCAAAGACAGTCTTCACTTGTAACAGCTGAGCTATTTCGCTTTACACATTATTAACTTTTTTTGAAAAACACATCTCATTATCGTTATAATTTTATTTATTATAAAAGTGCAACTAATTAACTTTATTTACCAAAGACAACCCAACCATTTAATACACCAGAAATTCAGAAAATGCACATATCATCGATGACGAACAAAACAGTCGACTTGTGCAACATTTGCCTGAACGTGAGAACGGGAGCCTACTAAAGTTGTTGTAACAACAACAAACCCCCCAACAAAACCACAAGCACTGCGCGGCACAACGGGGAGTCCATACCCAGTCCAGCTCTGCACTCATTCACTGCCACGCGCGTGTGCATGCCACCTCGCAGTACCCACCGCTGAATGGACCTTCACGGACGGGCTTGGAATGCACGGTGGCTGTTCTGTTTTGTTTTGCGTGGGCGGGAGGTGTTTGCCTCTTTATTTAATTCCAATTCCTTCCATTGATTGCTTTACCGACACTCCCATGCCCCCCCCCCCCCCGCCACAATGTAAAACTGTGCTGTCATTTAAACGCCGCTGTTCTTTGCTGCTGCTGCTGCTGCTGTGATATTGCATTGGCAGTGCTGCACAGAAGCGCGGATTGCGACAAACAAAAACGCAATTCGTCAATAATACCACGGTCCCCTAAAAGGTAAATACATCTACATGATGTTCTGAAACGTAGCCTCTTAGAGCTGTTATTTACCTCGTTCATTCAGTTAGCCTTCATAAATGTGATGTACGACTTGTTAAGGCTAAACCAAAATAAAATACGAACAAATCTATTAACATTTCGCTACGTAACTGGCAGTAATACACACAGCGATGCAGTGGCCTTAATCACCCAATTGCCGGTGGCATTTATCAGAGTGCTACGGTGTTGTGTTTTAACCATTACAAAGCGGTGGATATTTGCAGCAAGTAAAGTCCATGCATGAATCCCGCCCTCCACGTACGCAACGGCCTAAACTCAAACATCACTGTGCGTTAATTAAAGCTGGTGCGCTTTCGCGACCAATGTTTACGATTCATAATTGATTGTCGAATGAGATCACTTGAGCTAAATGTGTGTCGTACACCCTCCTCCACCCGACACAGGCAATGAATTAAAACGTTCACGTGGAACAAACGTGCCAATGTATTGCCGCTTCACCACATCGGTAGTGTTGGAGAGAAATCCCCAGCATTCAACAATTTGGCATGACATCTCGCCGGTAGTCGCAGCCAGCGTCATCGATCAGTTGCCACAATTCTTACGTGATCCGACCCAAAAATCGATTATGAATCGGCGGCGTGCGTAACCGACGGGACAGGTGAGAGTTACAGGACGCTTGTGTTTACACTCGAGCAGAGAGCCAGGTCTGCCGCTCTCCCACTGAGACTCGAGCAGAGAGCCACAACAGGACTTGAGGCGGTTTCCTAGCTAGGCAATCTCTAACACCCAGACAAACAAACAAAGTCAAGTCGGCGCGGTGCGTTCAGCCACTCAAATCCGTGATGAACACAGCCGAGGTACGCAAGTCAACACGGGGTAACTTGTTTCTTCACACGGATGTTGCACACACAATTGTATTGCCACCCCCTTTAACGAGACGAGGTTTCATTTTTGCCATTCATCGCGAAGAATTTGCGCCGTGGACCTTCAAGAGTTTGTGACAGATCGAGCGGCGCTCAGGACAGAGCGGCATAACGGCTGCCTGCTGACCGGGCGCGTTCCGAGGCGCCGGAATTTGAACATTTGAAATGCAGAGCTGCCACTCACCAGCCATCGCGTCGTCTCCCGGCCAACAAAGTTGCACTCCGCCGCAGTTGGATATTTCCCTCGTCTTAAATCGCGCAAGCCACATTAGATTTCGATTTAAAGCTTTCGTGACTGCAGCGTCTGAATGACATTCAGACGCTGTCTTTCCGACAGCTATGTGCTTCACCTGAGGACGGCTGCTTGCGTTGTGGCCGAAACGTCGTGAGAATTGTATTTTATTATGTTTTATTTTTGTTATTTTATTATATCCCTTCTACGTGACTTTACCGAAAGAACCAAGAAGATGAAGCCACATTAGCTTCGAATGTTTTGACAAGCATGGCTTGATCGCGGTCAGCGATTTGGATGACGTTACCATACGATGTTTAAAAATAACGGAAAATTAAAACAAATAAACGAGTGAATTCGGCCGGTCGCCCAGAATCAATGAAACCCGTCTGCTGTGTCACAAAGCCTCCCCCCCTAAATGGGCTGCTTCAACTTCCCATTTACGACTGCTGCCTGTTCTCATAGCAAGCAATAACGCAGCACCATGGGGGGGCAATACCATATAGAAGTACTCTGTGTGAACAGGAAATATTCCCTAAACTTGTGCTTGGCTGTGCTAATTAAAACCCACACATTTTTTTTTATGACAGGCAGAGTGATCATTCAATCCGCAGCCACTGATATTACCAATAAAGCATCACCAGCTCGGACACTGAATGGGTAATTTCGGCCATTCTGCGCAGTGGCCTATTTGTGTAAGTTTCATCAACGTTGATTGCAGTCACAATGTGCGTGCGCCACATGTAATGGTAGATGCGGCAGCACTAAAGCCACCGTGTATGATTCATTCTAAAGGCTTTGTCATGGGTTATTGTAAAATAAAAAAATCCAACGCGGACGGACATATCACGGATCACATCTGATTAAAATGTGCCTCATGCATTACGTCGCTCTGTGCCTCTCGATGCCTCTCGGTGGCCCTAGCATTGTGTCACCTGCAACCCCGCATTTAATAGTTTAACCCACAATTATGCAAATCAGAAAATTCAATTTACGGTATAAGGGTCTCTTTTTTTTTTACATCTCGTGAAGTCGCAACTTTCTCTTGGCCCCCCCAGGGCTCAACACAGCCGATCTTTCAGGTCAACTAATCTTCTCCATTCGCTGACAAATTGGATAAAGGACGTTTGCACACGTGTCGACGCTTTACATGCGAGAATATGTCATTTTGACCTGCATCATCGGGCGATGTACAACATCGGTTGCACAGCTGATTCGAGTCTAATGTTCACTCTGCTCGTCATAAAAAGTATATAATAACATATATTTCAAACAATCCGGCTCGAGGAGTTTGTGTTAATACTTGGAACTGTAAACCGTAAACTGATACGCAGAATGTATGGTTTGACTGCTCAGCATCAACCATAACATTGGCACTGAGATATAAAACCAGGTTAACACACACACACACAGCCACAGTGGCAAGGGAGACAGTATTTATGGATTTCCGAATAAAAATAAAAGGCAAAAAAGGGAACGTCCAATATATATACATTATGATTGTTATTAATTTGAATGCCTGACATAAAAGGGTAGGAGAATGTGGTACCGTCTGCACACCCACAGTACAATTTGGGTGTTTTCAGCGGAATGAGAAACCAGGTTTGTAAAGAAGTAACATTCGGCAACAGCAGATCATGAAAAGCACTGTCTGGTGTTTAATTTAATACCTTACGGCTGGCCTCTGCTAACCTTCATTGTAAACACAGTTATCTGAATACATACACACACACAAAATCGAGTAAAAGGCAATAGGTAGTGTTGGTGAAGAGCTACTGAAACGACTGAGTTAATTCAAATAAAACTCAGTGGATTTCTTCAGGAAAATAAAATAAAACCCACGAGCCGTTGGCAGTTTCAAACGCTGACAAAACATCCACAGTATCTTGTTATAGCTTAATATCTGTTAATATGATGGTAAGAAGACACAACACTACACTAGCGTTATTTATTTGTATCAAGCACCCTACTTTCAATAAAAATGTGCCACATCCACAATCTGAATATTGGTTAACTTGCCAAATGCTAAAAAAAGGCATGTTGCATTGATAGATAAATGAAATGTAAAGCAAGCAAAACTGACACACAAACAACAGTACAGCACCATTTGTTTGCAATCCAGGCCTTTGATCTTCACGTAGCAGCTGCACTATTGATAGACGCTCTAAGACCTTGCATGCTACGCATGTCTTATCGAGTGTTAGTTCGCAATGGCTTGAAAAGTACATGCCATTAAAATGTCTGCATAACGGAAGCATGACAAAAACTTTTTTTTTTTTGCCACAATCGTATGAATGTTTAATATGTATATAAAAATTCTATCCCATTTTGGTTGCGTACGTTTTTTTTCAATTAGGAAAATGGCTCGCAAGCATTCGGAGCGTACTCCACCCCACTTTGTGCTTGGCTTCGTTTGCATAAAAACAAAATTCAGTTTTGTCAAATGCGAAGGCCCCCACTTGGTTGGCTAGATTGTCCAGTTTGCTCGTAAAATTGTGGCACAAGCCTCGAGATTGGGCCAACACAGCCTGGCCGTGTCAATGTGGTAAATGAGTCTCTTAAAAAAAAACATGGCAAAAGTGATTAAAAAAACCCCAACTTGACGGAGAGAGACAGCCGCGCGCTTTTCGAGCATCAAGACGAGGCGATTTATGTGGCTTTGGTAAACAGCCCAAGTCTCAAACCGCGTGCGCATCTCCAATCAATGCGTCAGATTCCTGCCCCCCCCCCACCCCCCCGCTCAAAATTCTGAACAGAGTACATTTAATTATTAAATTATACCGAACAACAGCAGCCAACCTTACAAGGGAAGGCAATTACATTTTACCTGTACAGATTAAAAAAACAAATAAAAGAGCACCGTACGAATACAAAGTCAAAATACGTCTGTGCGATAAGCGTTGGTATGTTACACTTGGGAGTATGTACACATGTACAGCTATAATTATTAATATTATATATATTTTTAAAGCTTACCATTGTTTCGTAAAAAAATATCAAAAGAAAATTACGACAACAAAACACATAAATAATTCAGCAAGAACCATTGCGTAGATTCACCAAAGGTCCCACTGTCGAGGTAGCATTGCTTCTGCAGGTGATTTTCTTTCCAGCTCAAGTTGCCACAGCTTCACTCCTGAAGAGAACGAACAAAACAGAACAGTCGGCCGCAGCTCATCGTTTGCGACTGGTGCGGCCGGACCTCACAATACTCACCTTGCTCATTATAAAGACAAAGACCCCCCCTCTACCCCCCCCCCCCCATATAATAATACAAATGTGTAGACATTTTATTATTGTCTACCCAGTGCTGCCATTTACGTGCCCTGAAACAATCGTTCTCAGGACACAAATAATTTTGGAAAAAAAACGTTGCGACATATTAAAAACATTCCTACAGAAGAGCAAGAAAAGGGAGGATATCAGAACTAAAGAGGACGAAACAAAGATCAAAACAAGAGGAGAGGAGAGGCAGAAGCGGGCGGGAGGCAGGAGCGGCGGTCCCCCTGCCAACTCGGAAGACAAGCGCAGTTTGTCGCCATTCATCTCGGTCGTTGGCTGCCAAGGCCCCACTCACCGTGGCCAGCAGTAGCAGGCTGGGCCGAGCGTCACGCTGCGACCCGTAGCCTGAGCCCCGTGCTGGAATGAGGGATGCACTTCCCACAGTAACCGCCACACCTGCCGTATATTTTCGTACCGTCCTGTCACAGGAGAGAGCGCGCAAACGGAGACAGCAAGAACCAGTGAGTACCTATCCGTCTGAAGACCCTTGCAAGAACACCACATTCAACAAAGACAAAGATCTCCTCTATGGCCTTATCCTCTGTGTTAGAGAACAGGCTGCAGAAGGTGACATCACAGAACTACATCTGAGGTCCCTTCAAGAGACTGCTTTTTTATATATTATACGCGCTCAGTCGTGGATGCACTTTCTCTCACACCGTGTTGCAAAGCAATGTTTGTGGGCTGGCAGTCAGACTGGCATTGCTAATTCTCAAGAGTTAGAATTCAGTTCCACAACCGGTAGGACCTCAAAACACAGCGTGAAAGCCGTACGGCACAACCGCGGAAAAAAGTGCATGGTAAAATTGACGAACAAAGAAAAAGATTCCCCGTGTAGCCTTAACAGACTGTTGGGGCAAGTCGTGTTAGCCGTCATCGATTAGGGTCTGCATGGCACATGAGGTGGATGGTGGCCAACACCACGCCCGACCACCCTTGTCTACCCAGTGCTGCCATTTACGCGCGGAACTAGGTACCAATTTAAGGGTGTGTCTAGCTAGGGGTAGGTCTGGGACCAGTTCAAATATTCATCACTCGTTTTGTCAGTGGGGGAGAATCGAACTTGGATGGCCAGGTTCGTACCGCCAGTGCGCTAACCACCGCACTATCACTCCTCGCACGCCACACGCACAGCGCACACAAACACCCAAACACACAGACGTGCGCACAGATCCGGTGGCAGATCCAAGGTGTGGGCAATGTTTTTGTCAATTAACACAGGGCCCTATTTAAAAAAAAACCTGGACATTTCGGCATCGCCCTCCCCAACTTTTGGGGGAGTCTCTACGTTCACTTCTGCGCAAGCCCCCCCCCCCCCATGTAGAGTGGGTGGCGTGGCCAGCACTGCACCCGGCTGCCTTCGTCCCCACCATCTCATGACGATGGCGGCAGCAGCGCTTGGCGGAAGCTCGAGAGGACGAATTCTCAAACACGCGGCCTTAGCCGGAACACCCCCCCCCGACTACTGGGACGACGGAGCCCCGCGGAATCCTACGTGCCTACACGCCGCCGTGCTTGCTGCTGCCCGTGACGGTGGTCTGCGTGTCTGTGTCTGTGTCGCGGCGGGGGGAGGGGGGGCAGAGGCGGAGGAACTCGCCGGTGATCGGAGGACGTCGACGGTTGCGTAGTTTCCCTGCGACGCCCAGCGCGTCGCCTCCGACACCATGAGCCCCGTGCCCTGAGAGGTTGAGGCTGAAGCGGCCCTGCAACAAGAGTGACTTGCCATCGGCCGAGTGCTTGCGTCGCGAGCGGCGTACCGGGAACGGAGGCAGCAGGGACAATCGGGTCCTGTCAACTGGACAACTTTGTCTCCCCCAGTGCTCATGTCTAGACATTGCAGTAGGCACTCATGTAGAGCTCAGATGACCTTGGGGAGATTCAGGAGCGGGTTAGGCATTCGCGTTCGAAGTCTGCCGCGGCTGAGAATCGAACTCGGGTCTCCTGGGTCCGCAGGCGCAAGCGCGCGTCTCCGATTCAGCGCGGTCGCCGACGCGCGGTGCGAAAGAAGTTCCGCCACACATCGCACACAAAAACCACTGCGCCACCGCACCCTGTATACAACAACAACGCAGCGTAAGCGCGCGCGCTGTGTTCTCAGCCACCCGTCCGTCGGTCGGCCTGGGCAACACCGGAGGCGAGCGTGCACGACGATTCCACGGGGTGCGCCGCCCCGTTACCTGTGGGCAGCGGGCGGCGCTGTAGCAGTCCCCGGCCGTGGCAAAGGGCACGGGGCGTCCATAAAGCGTCCGGGAGAACTGCAGATCGGTGGCTGTGGAAACACGGCAATGGACGCGTGATCAGCCGGCGGCGGCCAACGGACGTTCCATTTTAATCGTAGGCAGGATTCCCTCGTTGCTCACGAGGGATACGTTCCGGAGACGCTCGTGAACAGCACATTTCACGGATAACAATATTGGCCTACGGAAGCCTATCGTTTCAAAGAATTGCCTTAAATAAATACGTAAATAACACGTGAAAATTTTCATAATCATATATCAGCTGTTATTATGAAGTGAGATCAGCTCGTGTGCATGTGCTAGGTAAATTGTTGCAGTGTAGGAACGTGAGGGATTGGGAAGCCTGGGGAAGGCCTTGATTCAGCAGTGTAAAGATCAGCTGATGATAATAATGATGAAAGGTATTTAGGTTGCTTTGGCTCATGGGAAAAAAGGAACACACCCCCCACCCCCCCACAATACCTCGTACGGTACACGCTGCACCAAAGTGCAAATCTGTGCGGATTAGCAATCCGATCTACGCACAACCGTCAACGTCCGAAAGTGCGACACGTGGCGTGACGGATCGTCGCGGCGGTAGCGGCGGAGATGGTGGTGGTGGGGGAGGTTGAGCGGGCAAATCTGTTCCGCTCGTAGTCATCGTCGTCATCGTCGTCATCGTCGTCATCGTCGTCGTCATCGTCGCGAGGGGACCGTTACGAACGCGGCGAGCGTACTGAGGATCTGCATGGTGTCGACGTCGAGGCGCACGCGGCTGAAGGCCGAGAAACCGGCGGCCAGGTAGTCGTTGCGGCACGCACAGTCCTCCCTGCGGCTGCCGTTGTAGGGGCACTCGTAGGGGTTGTGCAACCTGCGGGGTGGAGGGGGGAGTGACACGCCAGGAAGCGGCCGTTAGGGGGTCATCCATTGAGTATGCGGGGGCCATGTATGTATTAGGTACGCAAAAATCTAAACTTGACCCCTCCCCCCCTCCCTGTACGCACGCGTACTTTTACACCCCCCACCCACCTGCGTACGTTCGCTTGATCCACCCCCCCCCCCCCCCCCGAAGCCTATAGAACAGCCGAAATTTAATCCACGCAGAAACGATCAAGGATTAATAATATTAACATGTTTAAGCAAGCACATAGTCCACCGCCAGCTGCATTAAATAATTAAGTTGCGTACCTTGGCCACTTATTTTGCTGAGCCGCGTGATAGCTGCAGTCAAGGGCACGGTGGCACACAAGTGACACCTCTCCCACAGTCCTACCTCTCCCGCTAGTATTTGTCTGACAGCTGAAGAAACTGAACTGTGGCTTATTTAAAGGCCAATGTAGACAGATTGTTATCGAGCCTTCACCCCCCCCCCCCCGTTCCCTATGCGTACATTTTCAGTAGACCCCCAAACGCAAGCATACGCATTTGGGTTAACCCTCCCTCCCCGCTCCATGCGTCAGTACTGAATGGATGGCCCCTTATTCGGTCGACCACCCCGATGACGATGACGCAGCGGTGCCGTCGTAGCAAGGGCCACAGGGGGGGCGGGCGCGCGGGGGGGGGGCCCATCTCGATGTGGGGTCGGAGGGATTGGGAGGCGGGGGGGGGCATCACCGGAATGTGTAGCCGGACTGTCTGAAACCAAGCAAGCAATCATGTGACCTCCCTTGCCAGCATCAAAATATAAGAATCGGTTTTACCCTTTCTGGCAACGAAACAGGTGTGTTAAGACGTCAAAACTAGCACTGTTTGAGACTAGGCTCTAGAGATAGCTGTGTTTGGTGTGGCCCAATCAGTTTCAAAGATAACGCATATACTCCCAGAGCATGTTTTTTTTAGTTTTTTTTTGCATGTTCACCACAAGTACGTGTGGTTAATGCAGACAGGATTCCTTGAAAAAGGTTTCTGTCTGGTGTTTTAACATCTTAACAACAACACCTGTTTCATTGCCAGAATGGGTTCAAACCTACTCTGAAACCAAGCAAGCAGTTTGGCGGCTGGTGGCTCGCACAATTCGTGGGGGTAGTGCCGGCGCAACAGTAAGAGGGGAGAGTGGTGGGGGGCAGTCGGTGGAGGGCAGTCGGAGGGGGGGCAGAGGGAAACGGTGGCGGTCCCTAGCTATCACCTTGCCCGCATTCTGCAGAGTGGCCTTGCAGAATGAGTAATGGTCCAATCTGTGTTTGTCTATCGTGCATTCTGTTGTAGGTCTCACTGCGCCTGTGCATTTGAAGAAATATTGTCCCAACATTTTTTTGACTAAGGATTTAGCTTTCAGCAGGAGATGGCTCGGCCCACTCTGGTCCATGCAGAAGGGACAAATGATATTTGTCAGCACTTTACTGTACCGCCTTCTCCTGGCGATCAAGGGTATGGCATCTCGACGTGCACGAGGAAGGGAATTTCGCAACATCTGCGCGGTGATCTACCAACCCTCGCTGCCTCCACAGTGCTGGATTACAGGCAGCCACGTGAGTAGCCACCGCTGCTCGGCTGGATATCAGCACACTGAACCTGGCCTCCTTGAGACGTGACCCAAAAAAAAGGAAAAACAGCAAAGAGCTCGTATATTGCATAAAAAATAAGAATAGCTTACACCCTTTCTGGCAATAAAACAGGTGTTAATTTGGTCAAACACCAAATGGAAACCTTTTGCAAGGAATCAAGTTCGCATTAACCACACGTACTTGTGATGAACATGCAAACAAAACATGTTCTGATAATATATGACATTGCCTTTGAAACTGATTTGACTACACCAGAGGCTGCCTTATTTAGGGCCTTGTCTCAACCAGTGTCAGACCAGAGAGTGCTAAAAGGTGAACAGCACAAAGATAATGCCACTATCAGGGCATTTATAGATCGGGGTGAGCAGCTACAAATATGATACTGGCAAAAACGGTTCCATCTCGTATATTGTGTTGTCATGATTCTGGGCCACAATTCAACGGTCTACAATGTTTCGCCTACATTCTTTTTTTTTACCATCTAATTTTCATTGTTTGTCACACATTTCTATCGTTGTATTTACTCTGCTGACCTACGTGGAAAAAAAAGCTTGTCATTTGCATCAGCTGTATAAAATCGATTCTCGTTTACACCATTGATGCATCACGAGCACAGAAATCAAATTTATATAAGTGAATTATGGCATCGTTACACGGCTACTTGACTTGATGCCCTGATTTGTCTGACGCCAGCTTAAAACGTCGTTAGTAAAGACTTAAAATTTACTTTCGAGTTCATCGCTGCAGCACTCTTGCAGACATCATTGCAGTGTTGTATTGAAAGGTAGTCATTATAAAATATATTTAATTTCTCATTAACGAAGCTTCAAACTCACGGCAGGTGGCTTAGCGCACACACACAGCCAAAGTGTGTACCTCCCAAACCTGGAATCAATTACAGCTGTAATTGTGTCATTCGCAATGAAGTCCAATCATTATGTAATTGTAATTCCGGCTAACACTGCTGGCTGTAATTATAATCAATCCCAGCTCTGGTACCTACAAAACAAGATCTCGTTGTTTTTTTTCGTGGTTAAGTCTTCATTTAATGGAGAAGGCACAGGGCACACGGAGTTGACCGGGAATCGCCCCGCAGAAGGAACGAGTGGAGGCCGCACACGCAGCAACGCACCTGTATCCGAACACCTCCGAGTAGTTATCTGCCTCGCCGCTTGACAGCGTGATGTACTCCCTGGGACTGGCCGACTCCATGCCCCAGCAGTATATCTGAAGAAAAACAAAACCCCAGTGAATATGGCAATAGAGGAACGGCCAACCGGGGAGATGGAGCGATAAAACCAGGCCTGGTCCTGGGTGGATTATTGCATCGCAGAAGCATCAAAGGTGGCTTGGGATCCTCCATCAAGCAGTGAATAGACCATGGCTGATGATGATCGTGGCTTAAAAATCACAATTAAGTGCTTTCTCTTTTTTGCTTAGTATGGTTATACTTGCCTGGCACAAGCTTTTGATACGTCTTTAAAGTTAAATATTCCACCATAGTATACAGAGAAAGATTCACTGCTGAGATTGTATATGCATTCTGTAACAAATGGATACATAGGGAAATCAATATAATATCAGCAGATACGCCGGATTGAGCTGATAAAACGGGCAAGTGCCTTAAAGTTGTCCCACGCACAGTGAATGGGGAGTGCAACAAGACCCATGCTGCACGGAGTCCGTGCCGCCCCAGATGGTGAGCCGCGGATTACATTTCGTGGCCAGGTTCCCATCGCGACGGAATGCCTCGGTGATTTGCCCACGTCATTAGCGATGGATACGTCGGTGGGTTCTTGCAACAACAAAAAAATCTCACTAAAAAGGAACGCTCGCTTAAGATGACAACCGGTCCCCTCGGTATTCACGTACACACAGTGTTCAGGATTAATGAAGCGTGCAGACAAATTCAAGTTGTGCCGGTGTGTTGCCCGTCTCGCGACAAGGTAAATTGTGTACCTTCACATCTCTGCCACCGATGCTAATGAGGTACTCCCCGTCATCCTTAGCCCCGTGCAGGATCTGTACGTGAGCACAGCTTGAAGCCTTCTCGCCTACACACAGACATAACGGTGAATTGTGTTAGCCGCCTGTGCCAGAGGCACACATGCGACGCACACGCAAACACAACAGTTTAATACGCAGTAGGCTTTCACGACCAATATCAACCATAAGATATTTTTTTGGGTTAGATCGCGTAAATATATAAATGTGTTGTTAAAACCCGCCACCACCTGACACAGCCAACTAGTAAGGGTTGGCACGTAAACAGAACATGCCAATTCGTTACTAGGACAGCACACCGGTGATTATGCAAGTTTTAATTACTGGTGAAACGTCATACTCAGATTGAAAATGTTGTGGCTTAGCTCTCCAACACACCGGTGTGCTGTACTATTGACGAATTGGCCACGTTCTGTTTACGTGACAACCCTTACTAGTTGGCTGTGTCGGGTGGTGGCGGGTCTTAACAACACATTTATATATTTACACGATCGAACCCAAAAAAAACTGCATTATGGACAAACACAACAGCTGCCACACTCCACTCTCACCGAATGGCAGTGACATCGATGCAGCTCTTTTGCCAGGCTAGGTGAAAATTTGACACACGCACATATAGGCTATGCACAATTTGCACAAGGTCAATCTCTACAGCCGTAAGGAATGTTTGGGCAAACACTCTTAGTGAACACCTCTTTCAGGCCAACATTGCACGCAATGGGTGGTGTGAACAGCACCATACCCTTGCCCCCCGAGTGCTCATATTTACGCACAGCATGAGGTACTCATTTAAGGTTGAGTTGACCTTAGCGGAGGCCAGGGACAGCTCCTAACCACACTTGCCACTGATATTAACCTTGGCTTTGAATCAAGTTCAGGTCACTGGGTTCACGGTGCAGTAGATTAAATCAGTCACCACTTCCGCAAACAAGCACACGCAAAACGGGAAGTCATAATATCATTTTCCTGTCAGCTGGATTCACCCAACAGTTCTAATCTCAACTTCCTTTACTTTTCCCAAAGTATCATTATATATATACGTTATCTGGTGATACTGTGTTGGCAGTGGTTGCACAAATAACGGAGAAAAAAACCTCACATTTGTCAATAACACTGTGGCTTTATATAATAGGTGACGTTTTGGGCACTGGCCCTTTCTTTGTCAATCGATATTATGAGTCACTTGAAGCTGCGAAGTTACCAACAACAAAACAACGTAGCACAATGCATATGGTGAGAATCCCATGATGATGAAATCAAAGCACAGGACGCAGAAGCTGACGGTCACGACATTGAACAAAAACATTTGTTGTTCCCGAGGCGATGTGAGTGATGCATCGAGAGGATCACTTCTAAGCTGCGTTGTGCTTGCAATTCCATCAGGAAAAAACTTGTTGCTAATGTTTACGTTTCAAGTCCTGCCAAAATTCTATATTTGTCACATTTTCTTCATCTGAACTGGATAAATCGGGACGAAAGTTTGGAAATTCTAGGGGTGAAAATGTTCCGCCACAATTTTGTTTAACCTACGTCAAAAGTTATCCGTGGCTCAATCGGCATCAAGGCCACGGGCCCCAGCCAGTTGCGTCCAGTCACAGCGGGCCCCAAGCCCTCTCTTGACTCTTTACGTCAACAATTACTAATTGAATGACAGATGGACACATTACGTTTTTCATGATGTAGATGTACAAATGTGCCTCCTCCCCACCCCCCCACTACGGTGTAGTGAGCTCTCTTCACACGGTGGTAATCCACGGCCGCTGACGGGTGCCCTGCCAACTTACAGGGCTGCCCGTGGCACTGCTGCCTTGTGGTGGGCCGAGATTCCGGGGGGCAGGCCTCGCTGGGACGCCCCTCGCCCGTCAGGCACCGTACTGGCCTCTCGGCCCAGCCGTCACCGCAAGACACCTGAGCACTGTTGAAGAGGGGGGGGGGGGGACATTGAAGGAATAAGGGGGCAGAGAGATCGGTGTGGGAGGGCACACAGCCCCCCAAGACGTTGCATCTCGCCCACAGCGATGTTCACACGTACGAACGCCCCGCGCCTCTGATTAGCAGGGTTGGCCATGCACGGTGCGCAAGAAGTTTAACAAGCATGCGTGAATACAGCTGCTATAGCACCTCCGGTTAGCTCGCGGTTGGCTACGGCTTCCCCCCCAGGCTCTCACCTGACTCCAGGCCCCGGTCCTCCACCGCACGGGCAATGCCGCCTGCGGTGGCATCGGCGGCGGGGAGGAGCATTCGCGAATGTCGCACGGCCTCGTGCCGGGCGGTCGGGGGTGCGGGCAGGACGGGCGAGCATCCTGGCCCCCCACGACGGTGCCTTGGGGGGAGTGGGGGGCGCCCCCCGCGGTGCCCGGTCGGGGCGGCTGGTTGTGGCTCCCGTAGCCGTAGGGGAAGTGTTCGCCGGTCGAGCCGTGAGTCTCGGAGCAGAACACGAGGCGTTGCTGGTAGCCTGGGCCGCACGACGCGGTGCACTGTGGGGGAGGGCCCAAGTGGGAGGACTTCTTCACAATTCTGGCAAATCGCCCCGATGAAGCTGGTTGATGTGATTGACACAGAACTCAAATTGTAAATGTTGTGTGCGTTTACTCTCCAACACACCGGTGTGCTGAAGAACTAACTAATTGGCATGTCTTGTTTACGTCACAAACCTGAGTAATTGACTGTGTCGGGTGGTGGCGGGTTAACGATGCATTTATATTTACGCGATCTAACATGGAAATAAACCTCCATTATGGATAATATTGGTCGCGGAAGCCTACGTGTTAAACTAACTGTTTAACAATTTTTTTTATTTTGCTAGGTAAGGCCTACTGAGCTATGTGGCTCTTTGTTCAGAAGTGACCTGGCCATCACAAATGATAGCTCAAACGAAGTGGCTTATCGCGTGGAGATATTTCGCAGCCAAATACTTTAAATGCATGGCGTTGATTCCAAATATGTAGGGAAAAAGCGGAGGACCCGGATAAAATTCCACGCAACCACGAGAAGAACATGCAAACTCCAAATATACAGGCATCAGGGCCAGAATCGAACGGACGACATCCTGTAAACTAGACGAGGGAGTTAACATCTCACCACCATGGTGATGCATTGGTGTTCAGTGAATTATTAGTGTATGATTTGAGTGAATATGCAACAGTACTCGATAAATACGTGATCGAAGAGTGGGTGAGTGTTTTTTTTCATATTCCGTGAATGAACAGTGATCGTTTCTAATTGAGTGAATAAACATTGGGAGTTTATGACTTCAGAGAATAACATAGTGGAATTTTATTTAAAGCTTTTGTGACTGCAGAGATTCATATTCTTGGTTCTTTCAGTAAAGTCACGTAGAAGGGAAATAATAAAAATAAAACAATTAAATTCTCACGACGTTTCGATTGAAACACAAGCAATCATAATCAGGTGTGAAACCCACAGCAAGAAAATTTTCGATTTAAAATTTTCTTGCTGTGGTTTTCTTGCTGTGGTTTGCAGTCACGAAAGCTTCAAATCTAGAACAAATTCTGTTAGCGAGCACCTACGAAGACCGGCACTGCACAGGAGGGGTGGGTGGCCAGCACCACGCCAGGCCGCCTTTGTCTCCCTAGTTGAGATGTTTCCTGCACGAGTTACTTATTTTGAGGCTGAGTCGACCTAGGGGAGGCCCAGGATCGGTTCAGATAATCGTCGCATGGTATTGGCCGTGAGCGTGGAATCGAATTCGGGTCGCCGGGTTCATAGCACAGCGCGCTAACCGCTAACAGCCGCGCTCACACACACACACATGCTGTGAGAGGTCACAGGGAAAGGGAGCCCGCTCGCTAATTAGCCAGTTAGCCAGTCAGTTCGCAAGCTGGCGGCGGTGCGTGCAGAGCGACGCGATTCGTGGAGAACGACGCGATTCGTGCAGAGCGACGCGGTGCGTGGAGAACGACGCGATTCGTGGAGAACGACGCGATTCGTGCAGAGCGACGCGGTGCGTGGAGAACGACGCGACGCGACGCGTACCGCGCTCCAGTCGCCCGTGACCCAGATGAAGTCGCACGCGGCGGACGAGCAGCGCTCGTGGGCGGGAGGCCTCGCGTCGGCGCGGCACATCTCATCCCGCACGGGCGCCTTGCCGCCCTCGGCGCAGACCACGTGGCGCGCGCGCACGCCCTCGCCGCACGTGCGGCTACACTGCAGCCGCACACACAGAGACAGACGGAGGGAGGTCCCCCCCGCCGCGCGTAGCCTTCAAGCGGACTGTCGGGGGCAAGCGACGTTGGCGAGCGACCTACGATGGGCGGCGAGGTGCCCATCAGTTGGTCACTTCTGAAGAAAGAGCTGTATCGTGCCGTGAGACTTCGCTGGTAAACAAATACACAAAAAAAGAGTGTATAGTGCGTTACAGCATCTGGCAATCCGGCGGCATTTGATCAGCAAGCGTCGCGATGCTGATGGAGACCCAAGAGGTGAAAACCAGTCCAGGGTTTACTGGATCATATTGGTGAGGAAAGACCCATAAAAGCTGATGGATTAATCACGAAAATATGATTTTCTTTTTTTATATGCAGAGAGATAAATACATGTTCATTTCTATAATTTATCAATGAATCAGTGAATTGGTCAATCACCCTATCAGCCATGCATGGAGTGATTTAATACGAATATTAACTAGCACGAGTCTGTCAGTCATTTAGTCAAGAAGTTAATTAGTTAACCAATAAATAAATCGGTCATATCTGTGAGTTAACCAAGTCATCTTTTAGTCAGTCAGTGGGAAAATACGTGAATTGGTAACTTACCAACAACAACAAAAACTCAAGTGAATCAGTGATATAATCAGTTAGTCAGTGAACTACATTAATCAATCAATGAGGTAATTAATCAGCTATTCATTTCCTTCATTAAAATATACCAGTGAGAATTCGACTGGGATGGAATACGTCACGTGGTGGAACCTTTGGAATTATATGAAGACAAACCTCGAACACAATGTTAATTACAAGAGCAAACATGTATATCAGGATTGTAATAACATTTCCACCAAGCAAATGAGGTCAAAATGATAGCTAATACAATGACTAATTGTTATTAAAGTGAACAAATTTAATCAGCGAGCACAATATCATAACAACCATTCTGGCAAAAAAGAAGACCAGTATGGTAATTAGTGACTTGCACTAATTCGCCATCACTCTAAAGCACAGTGTTAAATTATGGAATGAATTTGATCAGCAGGTAGGAGAACATTGAGATCAGGAACCTCACTTTGAAGGCAGACGTGGATTTGGATGTGCGGAAAAAATATCGCATTCCAACCACGTTAAGCAATGCAGCAACAGCCGTCGTGTAATTAAAATTAGATTTTGTTTTGAATCATTAGAGATTCATTGTGCGCGCACGAGAACACGGCGTACAAACCCCAGCGTAGAAACCCCAGAGTAGAAACCCCAGCATGTAACCAAGACGACTTAGAACAACAGAAAACAAATTTGACTTAAAACTTTCGTGACTGCGGGAATTCATATTCTTGGTTCTTTCGGTAAAGTCAAGTATTGGTACGTGACTTTACCGGAAGAACCAAGAATATAAAAAAAAACTATTGCTCAAAAGATAAATATTTTAACTCACAAAGAAAATAAAGCAAACCCTGAATTCTAATCATTCATTAAAAAAATAATTGGCGTTTTATTTTTAAATACGGATATGACACGATACTCTGGCCTTGCCAGTCGTGGGTATCAAAGAGCGGTGCAGAAAAAAGATCATTGTTGTATTGTACTACGTATGCTCCCCCGCCTTCGTCAACGCCCATCCAGCCGTGCATTGACAAACCAGCCGTACCTGCACTCTGGCCTTCTCTTACTGCCCAACAAAACGTGAACGAATCGTTTTTACTGAACAAAATAGTTACGTTATATATGTATCTTATCATACTAATAATAATAAGTACAGTGATAACAGCCTATTATCTTTACACAGCACCTGTCGTCCAAAGATCATAAAGCGCCATACAGTAAATGTTAAAATGTCAACACTGTATGTAAAATAGAAAGAAAAAAACTCAACACATTAGTCAATAACACTGTTGTGGCCTTCAAAGGAAAATTCTATAATGGGTGACGATTGTGGCAACGGCCCTTCATCACAGCACATAAATGAAACGTCGCCAAATATATATTTTCTCTTTTAAGGGCCCTGTGTTGTTGACTAATGTGTCGAGCGTTGCTCTGAGTTGTGCTGTGTGCACCGCTGGCAAATAATCACAAATAAGATAAATTGGGGCAAACAAAACATTCAACTGGATAGAAAAAATAATGAATGTCCAATGGACGTGCCTCTTTCGCGTGACTTTGGCCATCCCTTCGCGCTGCCAGACCCAACTTCAGCTCTCACGTTCACTCTTCTACGTTTGTTCCACGCCACGAAATACACAAGCAGGTAACGGCACCCCACTCACGTACCGTGAGTCAAACAGCTCGCCGCACCGCCCAATGGGCACGGTTGGCTACATACGGTGCGAAAGAAGTTCAACGTACACAGCAGCGTTCTGATCGTACGTGATTCCAGTCGCATTTGGTTCAACGCAAGCAAATACTGGACCGGATTCGATATTCAGTGTCTCATTAGCAGAGTGATGCTCGCTTGAAACCAATTCTGGTGAACCGACAGCTGGTCGTGGTTGAGGACCCTCTCTGTTAGATATGGGGCGATGCCAGGGCAGGATTCAGATTGTGTAGGCTCCTGGGCTACAGGTACTGTGAGGCACCCAGTAATACTAACAACAAATAAAGGTCAGCATTTACAAAATGAAATAACTTTTCGCTTCATCTCTGGAGGCCCCTCCAGCGGGCAGAGGCCTCTGGGCTGTAACCCCGAAAGCCCCCTCGCCTTAATCCGGCCCTGGTGGACGCTAATGATTATTTTGTATCATGTCTGTGGAAGAGCGTGGACCTTTTAAATCCTTCCACGGCCGCTTGCTTACAAGGCAATCCCATTTGTTGTATTGAATACCCCTATACAAGCGTAACTCCCCTTTGAACTGCCCTGTGGCCTGTGCACAGGAGCTCTCCGAGGGGTTCATTGACAATCCTTTGTGCGGCTTCGCCGTGAATCTGTATGCAGCGCTTCCACAAAGCAGCCTCATCTCTTTCCGAATGTGCCATTGCTATCCACCCTGCGTTGCTTGGCAATATATACTGCTCGTGACAGTGGTCCGAGACGTCCCACTCCTGCAAAGTGTGTTTCGAAGTGATTACTGAGCAGAGAGCAGCAGGGATATAGGCTCAGATATAGATCATTATCATTACGTATGTAATGTATGTTGACGTTCTTTCGCACCGCACGTAGGCTGCCGCGCAATTCGGAGGTGCGAGGAAATCATCGTCAGCCGTGATCCATTTACTGCTGGATTAAGGTCCGTCCAAGCTGCCGTCATGAGCTGATTCCATCGCTCCATCTCTTTACAGTGGGCGCGCTGTCTTGGGCGCCTTCCCTCCCTTGTCTGCCACTCCATTTTCAGTCTCTAACATCGGCCATAATCCAATCAAGTGACACGTCCTGCCCAAGCCCAATTGCTTTTCTTGACAGTGAGGATGGTGTTTTAACCTTGCACGCATTCTCAAATACACGTGTCTCGTTTTGTCTCTCAGTGTATTTGTAAGCACGCACCCATCCATGTATATATTATATATATGTGCACTCCACGCTGGTTTGATCTGTATTCCTATCCATGCATGGCAAAGGATAGAGGGCGTCATGATGGTGAGATGTCAACTGCCTCGCTTGGTATGCAGGAGGTCGTGGGTTCGATCACAACCCTGACGCCTGCAGTGTATTAGGAGTCTGCGTGTTCTCCTCGTGGTCGTGTGGATCTATCTCCGGGTTCTCCGGGTTCTCCAGTTTTCCCCTCCACGTTAAGAATCAAGCGTCCATTTAGAGTATCTGTCTGTTATACATTTCCACACGATGAGCCACTTCGTTGAGCTATCATTTGTGATGGCCAGGCCGCTTCTGACAAAGAGCTCCTGAAGCTCAGCGGGCCTTACCTGGTTCAAATAAAAATACAACAGTTTAGTTTAGACACGATGGGGCCAAGCGGCCTCGGACTAACGGCCAAGCGAGTGGGACCCATGGCGTGCCCACACGCTGAGTGGTTTGCCAGCCACCCACGGCAGCAGCGTTCCTGTAAATCCTCCACTCCTCTCCCAGTCCTGCTCGCGGCTGGACACAGCCCAAGTCCCGTCTGCCCGAAGTTTACTCGTTCAAGATGTTATTCGAAGCTGGTATGCAATCGGCAGATGTGCGCAAAAAAAAAAAAAGTGTGAAATACGACTGCGTAGGTTTTATTTTTATTTTACGCGGCCTTGCCGTAACGGCTCTCCGATGTGTCCAACGTTCCGCTTCGGTTTCCGAAGAAGTTCTCGGCACGTGCGGCAGAACGTCGGACGTTGTGTGGGACAACCCGCGGGCGTGACCGGACAACGCACGGCACAGCCAAACCTCGTGCAAAGTCCACATGGTGGTAAAACAATCATCATGATATTGCTTGGACATTAATTAACCATGAAAAGGACCACTGAGGCTCGATAATCTATTTAAGCAGGATCCTGAATAGGAACGTTTGGTCAGCCTTGTTATGCATATTTTACACGTGGAAGGTAACTCGAGTAGAGAGTACACGGGGACAGACCGAACGTTAATGACGACACAAATCGTCGCACAGTGATCCGTGCTGTTACCTACTGGCCACCGCGTGACTCAAGAGGTTTCAAGTCACACACATGATTATGACCACTGAGCGAACCGATTTCTGGTAAAGAGCAAAGATTCCTCTGGGCACGTGATGCAACCGAGCACGGCAACACGGACGACGATCTCTCACGCAAAAAAGGAGCGCAAACCCTTCCACAAGAGGGCAGTGCGATGCCATTCATCACGCAGAGTCGCCAAAGGTCCCGTTGGCACTGCTGGTGGGTCGTGTGACCTCCCGTCACGGCGGGAGTGTAGTAGCGGTCAGCGCGCTGCGCTTCGAACCTGGCGACCCGGGCTCGATTCTCGCTCGATTCCCAGCACCAATGACGATTGTTTGAATCGGTCCTGGGCCTCCCCTAGGTCAACTCAGCCTCAAATGAGTATCTGGTGCGGCGTGTGGACATTGCCGCTCGGGAGACAAAGGCGGCCATCGCTTCGTGTGCCGTGCCGACCTTCATAGGCGCTACTCGCGAACAGCACTTGCTCCTACGGTCCGTGAAGGCCTATACGGGGATCTTTGTTTTTCGACAAATTCAGCTGAGGCTTGCCTTGCTGCCTATCCGGTGCCGTGGGCAATTTGTCTGATCCAGTGCGATGGATCAGTGGAACGCCATGCATTCTTACCACCAGCACTGGGCGAATGCAAATACAAATTCCTTCTTCAGTATACTGTCCATGTTGACATGGAGAAATACTGTACGGTTAGAAGCTATGCCTCACTGTCAGCATGGTATGAGGAGGCCCTCAGCCGGCAGTGGATTGACAAACTTAACCACGACAGTCCACACGAGTGCACCGATGCTGTATCGATTCTCACGTGGAAGTGACATCACAATAGTGGGACGTGAGGACCATGAGCGATGCACTTAATCATAAATGCAAAGCTTCTTTTTTTCCTAAACGAAGCTTCAAAGTCACGTGTGATGGCTCAGAACACACGTATGTATGTTGAACTTCTTTCGCAACCTACGTAGCGCCAGCCGTGCTGATCGGAGGTGCGGTGGAAGGACAACAAACTAAACACACAAAGGAGTTCTAAAGAAATGAGTTGTCAATCTAGATTTAAAAGTGCATCGCTCCAGTGGCTTCCCATATCAGAGGAGCTTTCGAGACGGCCGCAGGAGTGCACCTCAAAGCGTGCAATGCAGTGACCGTCTTTGTTCGATGGGCTGGACAAAAAGCCGCTGGGAGGATGCCCCTTCGCGTCATGGTTTATGCATCTACAGCGAAGACAACCGTTTCATGGACTGCATTTTCCTTTTTAATGCAGTGAATACATGAGCTGTGACAATACCACGCTACAGATTATTCGAGCCCTCTCTCTCTCTCTCCCAAATAAAGCCACGCGAACGTCTCTTGGCGGCTCGGCGAGGGAGAAAAAACCCCCACAAATGGTGGCAGCGGCCACTTTGCGTCCACAATGACCGCGCGGACGCCTCACCAACCCTCGGAGAGGCTAAATTCCCGCGCCGTGACTTCACCGTGACCTGGGGTGACCCGTCAGACAAGCGGGGGGGGGGGGGAAGGCGGGGGGGGGGGGTGGGAGCACGTCGTTTCTGCCGTACAAGGGAGGCACGTTCCTCTGGCTCGTCAAGCTCTCTCGCTCTTTCTCTCTGGCACGGACCGAGGGCCCACGCGGCGAAGGATTTTTGGAAATTGCATTTGCGGTGTAGAGTTTCCACTGCAGATTTAGCGCCAATTTTTTTTTGTTTGGGAGGGAGCTTAAACATACGGGATCGTTAAAAATAACAAACAAAAAATTGCTTTGGCCGAGGGGATGCATGATTTGCAGCCTGATGTTGGAATTGATGATGAATCAGTGCTGAATTGTTTGAAATGTTTTTGCTAGTAATGTGCCAAAAGGACGCTGCTGTTTTTATAATTGTTATGAAAGGAATATGTAAAGCTTTGGTGCCTACCACACTGCATTACTACACTCATCCTAATACCAGAACCCTAACCTGTAATCTGTGCATCAAGCCATACAGGTTTATAAATCATGACTCAGACTACACTGCCAGTTTTCAACAATAATAAGTCCAAAAATCCCATCCTTTAAAGTATTTTCTTTATAAAACGTTCATCTTGTCATTTATTTTACAATGCCATCTATTTTACCAGAAAAAGCCTCGTCAAGTCTCGGTACATTGTTATCAGGAGAATTCTGCAATTCGGTTGCCGAGTTTCACAAATCTACACCGTCCACTCACGCTCACCTCCAAAGCGTTGCATTACAGGCGTGTGCGCTGCTGCCGCACCAGGCTAGAAAAGGTTAAAAAGCACAGGTGCAGTCCTGCAATTACCCCGCTTGAAAAGGCTGCTGGAGGAATGACCTCTGGAGGGCATTTGGCCTAATCTTCGACAGGACCCGCACGATAAACCACCACACGCGACCTGCCCATCGACCAAGGCTGACGTCATGGAGTCGACATTGGGGAGGACCAAATCTTCCAGGGGGTGTGGGGGTTCCCCCCCAGAAAAAATATCTCAATCTGAAAACGAATTTCCTGCCATTTCCTGCCTAAAATATTTTTAAAATTCACTAACACATAGGATGGATTTTTTTTTACAATAATGTCTAATAGTGTATTGTATTACATTGCTCTGTTTTTTTACCTTTTCTTGTTTCATTGTATGTAATGGCAGAGATAAGGGATTAATAAAGTACAACCATAACCACAGTCATATAAACAGAAATCTATTTCATAGCAATATATTGGGGGGGACATTTTGAGCATATTTTAATAATATTGGGGGGGGCATGTGTAAATTGTGTGCCCCCCAATATATATTATAATTACGGCCTTACGATCGACTAGCTGTGAGCGAGACCCATTTATACTTCGGGGTGGACAGAGACGTGGGGGAGATTTAAGAAACTTGCCCCATTCATCTTCTTGGTTCTTTCGGTAAAGTCACGTAGAAGGGAAGTAATAAAATAATAAAAAGAAAACATAATAAAATAATTCTCACGACGTTTCGGCCAGAACGCAAGCAGCCGTCCTCAGGTGAAAACCAGGTCTGTCGAGGCGACAGCTTGCGTTGTGGCCGAAACGTCATGAAAATTATTTTATTACTTCCCTTCTACGTGACTTTATCGAAAGAACCAAGAAGATGAATCCCTGCAGTTACGAAAGCTTTAAATCGAAACTTGCCCCATTGTTTCAACTGTCGAACCGGACAGCCCACCTCTGGTTCGCAAGTCCGGTGTGCTGAACATTACACCAAAGCAGCTTCCGGAAGAAAAAAAAAAAACTGTCTGCCCTGCTATAAATTATTTTATACGAAAGAAAAAACACCCCCAAAGCTACCCTACATTCCGATGATTTTGGGGAAAAAAATGATTGATAACCTGATGTCTGCATTGCAAAAAATTGTATTTTAAGATAGATTACTTTCATATAGATATTCAAGTCAATGTCTGAATTCCAGAAAATAAGAGAGAAAACAATACCATCTACCAGAGCCACATTGCCACGTGCCCCCGTGCTGTGGTTGGGCACACACCGATATATATGTGTGTGTATAACAAATGATCCAGGATTTGGTTTATTTTAGTCCACGAGAAGCAGTGATGTTATTCCACATTCTTTTCTTGATGTACACACGCACACACGCGTGGTGCACAAAATGACTCGCTCGCATCTCAGGCCGTCCGCTGTAATGCCCCTCAAAGGACGAGATAACCAGGAGGAAAAACAAACCCGTGCTATTTAATTTCGTTACTAAAGCACTATTGATCCACGACAGAGCTGCAGTTTAGATCTGCCTCTGTCATCAAACATTGCCCGTTCACCTCTTGAACTCTGTCTCATTGCCTCCTCCACCCAGCACGGCGGTTGCTCCCAATGTGTTATTGTCGTATTCCCCCCCCCCCACTCTACTACGACTGTGTGTACCATGAGCACGGTATCGTGTACGTACCTACACGTGTAGAACTTCTTTCGCAACGTGCGTAGCCAGCCGCGATAATCGGAGGTGCCGGATGAAGGACAACAATGTCCATTCCGGATTCTCATAGAGCACTTCTTATGCCACGTGTTCGAGAAGAGCCTGTGGAATGGGCTAACTCTGAACTACCTCCAAGTTCGCCTTCACGTACCCTTTTTCCCCACATAAGCGGGGGGGGGGGGGGGTAACAACCTCTACCATTCTAGAGAGTAATGTTCACATCGTGCCAGTCAAACCGATGTTTCTAATTATTAGAGCTGGAACTCACCCAAATCACGTGAAGGACCAAAATTTAGTGCGATAGTTTATTTTTGTGCAGTCTCTGGCGACTGGACTGAGAACATTAGCGCATTACGGTTTGAGAACCAATGTTAATCATGGGAGGCAGGTGTCTGTATGTTTTACTTCCTTCGCTACCATACGTAGCCAACCATGCTAATCAGAGGTACGGGGGAAGCACAACAAACCAAAGACATGATCTCAGGGATGCCAGCTAAGTCTTTTGAGCTGGCTACTCAACCATTACTGGGTTTTAGTTCCTAGCATGCACTGATATTGACTTAACAGGTTCCCAAAAGGCTAAACACTTCAAAACTTACACGCGTTACAAGGTATGGCAATAACATTCAAGTCAACATCACTCGAGAGCAATGTGGTGGAACTCTTGAAGACCACAAGACCGTGACTTTAAAATCTTACTTCATCATTAGAGAAGATTCAAACTACAAAAATTCCAGTATAGCCTAAGTGTCTACTTGTGTTTATGCATGAAACTGCTTTATTTCCTTACATGGTTGCACTTTAAACTAAATATATAAAGAGCAACAGAGAACGCTCAGTATGAATCCTCAAGTGATCCACCGACCCCAGCAAGCCACTTATTACTGTTGCTGTAACATCGGTTCAATAACGGCAGTGGTTTTTGTTGGATAGCCGCAGCAATGACAACAGTGGGATCAGGAAACCCTGTCTCCATGGTGTACTCCGCGCAAGCCACACGCATAACGACTAACCCTTTCCCGTTCACGTCATCGGAACGGAATCGATTCCGAAAGGGAATCGGAAGTAAAATGTAAATGCGGGAGGGGCTTGCGGCACAGTTTGGCGCCAGCTATCGTAGAGTGCGGACGTGTAGCTACAGTTCTCTGCGGTGAGTACGATGCCTTTAAAAACAGCAGCACTACGCCTTTCGAAATAAAATTAACGCGAACCGCTCGCACGTTCCGAGATTCGGCGGTGACCGGGGACCCACCACGCCACTTGCAGACGTCTCTGAATGGGGAAAGGGTTAATAAAGAATCAGGGACGCAGGGCAGCGTCGGCCCAGTTCTAGCTCACCTCTTATCTCGTCGACACCAAACAAGTTATCGGCAGACGGAGGCGACACGATTTCAGGCGTGCGAGCGACCGGGGGGGAGGGGGCGTGGGGTGCAGGTGTGCCGGTGTTTACCTGGCCCCAGGAGGAAGCCCTCCACCGCGGGCAGCGACCGGCCCGGCACCGTCTCTGCTGCCGCGGCTTCTCCACGTGACCGCAGTCGGCCGGCGGCAGCAGCAGCAGCAGCGCGTCGCCCCGGCCGCCGTCGGCGAGGCAACGCACCTCCCGGTACTGCGTCCCGCGTCCACACGTCGCTGAGCACTGCGCGCGCACGCACGGAGGCACGCAATGAAGACAGAGGTCCCCGCGGAAAGCCTTGAGCAGACTGTAAGGGGGCAAGCGAATGAGAATCCGGATCAGAATAGTTATTTATAGTGGAGGAATCTGATTTGAGCTATAAAGGTCTTTTTCGCAGAGGTCCAGTACGGGCATGGGCTCAGAACGTTACAACAACAAACAGTACAAAAACACGACAGGGGTGCAACGTATAGGAAAGGTAAAACTAATCCTTATAAAGATACAAATAAAACTAAACTATTTTTTTGTATCCTACCAGGTCAAGCCCACTGAGCCATTCACTTATTTTTCAGAAGTGACCTGGCTATAAATGATAGCTCAACAAAGTGGCTTATCATGTGGTCATTTATAGCAGAAAAATCATCTACATAATCTCAATGGAATAGTCAATAAACACAATTTGGAAAGATATATACGTAGACAACATGCAAATTAAATATTGTAACCAGTTACTGAATGCTCCTTTGAACTAATTGTTGCCAATTTACAATAATTCCTGGTCCTACACAGCGATACTTTATAGGATAACATCAGCTCAGATGAAAAAGCTAACTGACTTCACACACCTGAGAAAAATGTAATACATTGGTGAGGCTTTACTAATACTGCAACATTAGATTGTAATTTTAACACGTAGGATTTCGCGATCAATATTATCCATAGAAGGTTTTTTGGGGGTTAGATCACGTAAATATAAATTCGTCGTTAAACCCGCCACCACCCGACACAGCCGATTAGTAAGGTTTGTCACATGAACAAAACCTGCCAGTTAGTTACTAGTACAGCACACCGGTGTCTTGGAGAGGTAGCCCAAAGTGGGTGTGTTGGAGTTGGTTCATATTTACGTGATCTGACCCCAAAAAAAACCTCATGGAAAATAATAGAGTGTGTACAGGCCTCAAATTTCATATATTTATATCATGCGGACTGTTTTGTGTTACAGTTGACGCTGTCAGAAACATGTGTGCGTGTTTTTTACGCAAATAAATTATGAAGCAGGTATGATGTTGGCACTGTATGCACGAGGCATTAAATACTGAAAACCTTCAACCGCTACTTGCGCTTGGCAATGGCGTATTCCCATCGCACGCACAGACACGCAACTAAAACAAGTCCTGTCTGAGGGGGTGGGTAGCTAGCACCACGCTCGGCCGCCTTTGTCTCCCCAGTGTTGATGTTTACGCATCGCACCAGGTACGCATTTGAGGCTGAGTCGACCGAGGGGAGGCCCAGGAACGATACAGATAATCGTCACCGGTGTTGGCCGTGAGCGCGGCAAGTTAACCGCTGCACCACCGCTCCCCACCACACGCACGCGAGGACACTTTGCGCAGGCGGAGAATCCCTGAAGCCTGAACAATCATCGATTCACAAGCCCTGCCATTGACCACTGCTCAGTGCTACTCACCGCTGCCAAGCCACGAACCAAAGAAAGTGCATGTACTTGTTTATAACTAAAAATGCAAAAAAGCTAAATAAATAAAAATGTGGTTGCTAAAAATGACAGCACGGTGGTTGAGCAGGGTGAGCGTAAAATGCTAAATGTCTTTAAAATATAACTTTAAACACTTACAAACATACAATCCCCATGATGAGTGCACCAAGTCATTTGCCACCAGGGGAGAATGAGGGTAAATCCAATAGAAAGCCTGCAAAGGAGACTCGTATATGTGTACCGGTACGTACGGTGCGAAAGAAGTTCAACACACGTAAGCATATTTCTGAAACGCATGTGCGTACATTACAGAGTCTAACTGCGTGAGACTTGTGTGAGACTGGATGACGCGTTCTCCGCTGGTTAAGCACAAGGGGTGTTTGTGGTGCTTTCACGCCACCGATCTTTCCGCTACCGCTTCAGAAACAGATCACAGCTAGCCATAAAAAAAAGACGGTCATCTCATCACGCACACTCAGATGCGCTTCTGCGGCCGTCTGGAACGCTCTTCTTTCCGATATTAAGGGTGCCACTGGAGCTATGCACTTTTAAATCGTCCGAATTGAAAACTCATTTATGTAGAACTGCTTTTTGTGCTCAGTTCGTAGTCCTTACCCCCGCACCTCCGATTAGCATGGTTGGCTACGCGCGGTGCGAAAGAAGTTCCACACACCGTACGTACATACGTGGACTTGCTTTATACTTAATGACGCGTTCTCCACTGGCCTAGCACAAGGGGCGCTTGTGGTGCTGGCACGCCACCGATCTTGCCGCTACCGCTTCAGAAACGGACGGCGGAAGTTGACACCCAGTTCCCCCTGCCAGGGAAACCTGAGCCAGCCCCGCGGCCAGCTACAGGAGTGCCAGCGTTGTGCGAGAGCTGGCAGCGATAGATGCCGCTTAATCCTACTTAATGCACTGGCTGTTGTGATGGCCAAGCAGCAAGGCTTGCCCGCGGCAAGCAGCCAAGCAGATATATTCATCATCATCATCATCACCTGTCATTATCATCGTCATTACATTCCCCACCATCACTGAATATCATCATTATCATCATCACCGTCGTCATGATAACAGTATTGCTTTGTGAACCGTCATCGTGCGCATTGCTATTTTCATTTGTATCGGCATTGCGTTTAAACATCGTCTCCGTCATAATTTCTTTCATCAACAAAATCATAATTTGTCATCATATCAATAACCGTCATCATCGTTTTTAAAAATAATGATCATGATTTACAATTAAACCAATAATACCAAGCACACTTTTAAACTTCACATGACCAAATGATGCCTGCTTTGTATAACAATTCAGCTATTCAAACTTTGTTTCACTCCCATAATAAATGTTTAAAACATTTCAAAACTTCTACGTTAATTTAAATTCATCTTTGCCACTGTGCCACACACACACACACAGACACGTACACGCACACAGACACGCACGCGCACCCTTCGCTCGCTGCTTCTTTAAGAGATAAATCAAACAATGGGGGGTCACAGCAACGGGAGTCGTTCTGTCAGCTCGAACTCCTCCGCTCCCTGTTGCCATCCCATGACATTTCCATCGTGCGTCTAAAATTAACAGCGAGACGAAACGGAGGTGGGTGAGTGTGGGTGGGTAAAGGAGAGGGGGGGGGGGCAAACCTTCCAGTGCCCAATCGTATCGGTGCCCCCTCGCAAGGGCAGTCAAAGCGGCAAGTGACATTTTCATCAACCCCTTTGCGGTTGGCAGGAAACCTCCCCTGAGATCGTTATCTGCTATCCCGTATCCTGAATGCCAGGTTCGGTACAGAGCCTGTCGCACCCTCCCCCCAGCCTCCCACTGATAAAATGTGGATAAGGAAGGTTTAGCATGTGAAGGGTGGGCCCAGTGCCTCGGTGTCTCCCATTGTACGGCCCAAGATAACGGCAGGGCCCTATGCATCCTGTGTCTGCACTCTGTCGGGCGAACTACTGCTGACATTCGTGGAAATGTTCATCAAGGTCAACGGTGGCATTTTAGAAATTGCAATTTTTTGTTGTTGCAATGATTTGCATTTTTCCCCCATCATCAGCTGCAGATAACTGCAGTTTTATGTTTTACCACCACAGTTTTTTTTTTTTTAAATATCACTCATGCATTACTGCTATCATGAATATTACTCTCTCACTACAGGAAAAACTTGGCCTTTGTTAAAAAGAGATCTCCAGTGAAAACGCCACGTGATGATGATATTAACTATATAATAACGAACAATATAATGACGTATCATATGTAAACTATGAGACAATCATTGGTGCCATTGCATTTACATAAAAAATAATCATCACAACCACTACTCAACACAATTGGCATATATTTGAATATTTACTCCAGTAAATAATTGTATCCCATTACCAAATGCCTGGAAACATATTCGAAAACGAAGGTGCCGTTCGTTACGATGACCTCTGCCCCACCGTATTCGCCCGATGTCTTACCACCTCTTTAAGGTCTATATTTGCTCACGGGGAGAGAAGGGGATATTGGGTATCCTCCACCGTTCCTGCCACTCCCTCTCGGAAATGCGCTCCTCATTATCCGTGCACGCAGCCCCACAGCGGCGGTAAGCAGGAGACGGGTGGCGCGGCTCGTACCGGGCTCCAGGACGAGCGGTGCCACACCCCGGGGCTCACGCAGGGGCCCTCGTCGGCACAGGCTTCGGCTGGCGGCGGCCGCGTTGCTGCGTCGCACCGCGTCTCGGGGAGCGGCTGTCCCTCCGGAGACTGGCAGAGCACGAGGCGCGTCCGGACGCCACCGCCCCCGCAGGATCGAGAGCACTGTGTCGCAAAGACAAGCGAGATCGCCCGCCACCCCCCACAGAGCTGTTTAAGGCGCCGCCGTGGCGAGGTGTTAACTACCTCGCCTGATATGCAGGTGGTCGTGGGTTCTTTTTTTTTTACGATCAGTGGAAACAAGAAGATGCGCGGTGTATTCGGCACTTTGCTTCGTTCATCATTTCGTAATTTTTTTTAAATTTAAATTGAAAATTTTTAACTTTGCTTTATGTAAACCCCCACCTCTCGCTCACTCTCTCGCTCACTCTCTCGCTCGCTCTCTCTCTCTCTCTCGCTCTCTCTCTCTTGCTCTCTCTCGTTCTGCACGCAGCCCTTCTTGCAGTCCGACGGCCTCCGACGGGTAGCTCATATCAGCATGGGTTCAATCCTGACCCTTGATGACACCTGCGTATTTGGAGTTTGCGTGTTCTCCCCGTGGTCGCGTGGATTGTTCTCTGGGTCCTCCAGTTTTTCACTCCACATTTAGAAGCAACACGCATTGAGATTATTTGGCTGCTATGAATGTCCACGTGATAAGCCACTTCGTCGAGATGTCATTTATGGCCAGGTCACTTCAGTGGGCACACAATGGGGTGAGTGGCAAGAACTACACCAGGCCGCCTTTGTCTTCCCAGTGCTGATGTTTACATACCGCATCAGATACTCATTTAAGGCTGAGTCGACTTCGGGGAGGCCCAGGACTGGTTCAGATAATCGTGACTGGTGTTGGCTGGAAGCAGGGATTGAACTCAGGTTGCCGAGTTCGTAGCGCAGCATTCCAACTGCTCACTACTACTCCCGCTACAAAGACAAAAATCCCCCGTATAGCCTTAACAGACTGTAGGGGCAAGTGCTGTTAGCGAGCACCTATGAAGGCCGGAACGGTACACGAGGGGGTGGGTGGCCAGGACCACGCTCGACCGCCTTTGTCTCCCCAGTGGCGATGTTTACACACTGCACCAGGTACTAATTTGAGGCTGAGTGGACCTAAGGGAGGCCCAGGACCGGTTCAGATAATCGTCACTGTTGTTGGCCGTGAGCGGGAATCATAGTGCAGCGCGCTAACCGCCGCACTACCGCTCCCGCTACACACACACACATGCGCTGCATCACACACATACACACGTATAGCAGGATTGAGAGCAGTGCATCACAAAGACACACGCACAGCATGTGGCTAGAGACAGGGACCACCACCCCCCACAGTGAAGCATTCCTGAATACATAATTTGCGGTATATTAAAGTCTATCACACATTGGTGAAGGCCTTCCCATGCCATGTCAGTCATGGGGGTTATTTGATCGTCCTTCACGCTGGCTCGAGCGGGATGGTGAAGATGCAGCCCAGGAGCCGTTGAGACATCGCTCGGCACCGATGTTAGCTGTGGCTAGGAGTTAAACTCGAGGGCACCACAGTAGCGAGATGTTAACTACCTCGCCTGGTATACGGGAGGTTCGTGGGTTCGATCGCAACCCTGATGCTTGTATATTTCGAATATCCGTCTCTCTCGCTGTGGTCGCGCGGATTGTTCTCCGGGTCCTCCGGTTTTGCTCTCCACGTTTAGAATCAATGCGCGTTTAGAGGATCTGGCTGCTATAATCGTCCACACGATAAGCCACTTCGTTGAGCAATCATTTGTGATAGCCAAGTCACTTATGAAAAAGAGCAATATAGCTCAGTGGGTCTTACCTGGCAAAATAAAACGCGTAGCTTAGTAAATCAGGTTGCCAGGTTTGTAGGGCAGTGCGCCCATACGATGTTTTAATTTACTTGTACTGGCCATATAAAGAGAACGGTGACATGAAAGCTTTACCACCACAGGTGGCACTGATTTGTGCTCTGTTACATAAACGGCCAGATGTGTCTCCTGTTACGAAGGGCAGAGTCGCTGTGTTGAAAACGAGCGATGGAAAATGTCGTGGAACTGCCCTGGAACTAGCCGTGATGATTGTGCCTTTCGTGCCACAGATGTGTTTGCAGAAAGGCTATTGTGAACACAGGGGCTCATACTTGTTATGCTTTGTCGTTCTCGAGTTAAAAACTTAATGACAAAGATTTTTCAATACAATAACAGTGGCACAATGGAAAATGCATCTATCAATAATTAAACATTGGTATAATTACGAGTAAAAAAAAAAGATATCTTTTAACTTATCAATCCACGCATGTGTTTCTCTCGTAAGCAATCATAACCAACCAATCACCTGCTCTCCAGGCCAGGTCACGCTAACTCTTGGAAAATAAACTGGCACTTTCAAAGGGGCATTTGTTTGCAAATTCTGCCACATTGTATCATCCTTGTATTTCTGCTGTTTATTGAGGTGTGAGTGGAATGATGGGGGGTATTAATCGAAGATAGTTTACTCACCTTGGATGTATGTGTCTTTACGCCTATTATTTTTAGAGCAATGTTGTGCAATGAGATATTAACCTGCAATGAATATATACCAAGTATCTTGGATAATTTGATTAGCCATAAACACACGTGTTCGATAATCCGGTAAGACTAAGTCATGCATGAGGCGCATTCGGTGGTATCATGCTGTCCTTTCCTGAATCTATTGGCTGTGTACTACGTCGCTCAGTGCTTGCTCTGTCACCCGGATTGCCTCTTTTGTTTAATGCTGTTACTGAGCAAGCCATTGTTTTAATTTATTGAACAGACGCCGTAAAAGCCATCGACGTGGCTGCCACGCCCTGCGCAAGCGCGCGAGCGAGTGTGGGGAGCGGGTCCCGCGTGCTCGCTCTCACCGCGCTCCACGTGCCGAAGTTCCACAGGGCGCACGGCTGCTGCTGCTGGCAGGGCCTCATCTCCGGCGGCCGTGAGTTTTGGTCGCAGCGATCGCCGGGCTCGCCGTCGGGGTCCTGGCAGACGACGAGGCGTCGCTGGACGCCGCCGTCGCCGCATGACTGCGAACACTGCGGGGGGCGTGCGGAAGGTCGGGCCGGCGTGGCGACAGACAAACGTTTCAGAACGCAGGCCCGCAGTCTTTTTGCTCCGATTCACAATGTCGCTAGCGAACTGTGGACCCGCGGACTCAGAGCAAACGTTTGTATTAATGTATGTTGGACTTCTTTCGCGTGTTGGTGAAGGTTCATTTTTGCCACATTTTTTCTTAAAGCGAAAAACTCTGAATTGCGTCACAACAACAACCCAGTGATGTTACTGTGACGTCAAACCCATCCGGCTTCGTACTATGCCAATGCAGTGATGTCACGAGTACCATGACACAGCACCTGACTGATTTTTCTTTTAAAATAACGTTTTTCTTATTAATATTCTCATATTGTGTAGCTTGGGACACAGCCAAGGTTTATGCATCTGCAAGCCAACATGCATTACGTACTACGCGCACACGCACGCGGCCTTGCCGTTAGGGCCGCAGATAAAAAAACAAAACAACTCACGGGTCCCCAAAGCCCAGTCCTCCAGCGGTCAGCGTCATCGATGTCATCAGCAGCAGGAGGAGACGGGAGAGCAGACGAGGGGGTCCCTGCGGGCGCCACCGAGCGTGGGCGCGCGACACCCTCCCTCGAGACGTCCCCTCCGCTCCTACTCCTCGTCTCGGGCGGGCAGGCCTCCGGCGAGCACTCCCGCTCCGAGATGGGGCGCTCTTCCGACTGGCACTCGGTGACGGCGGCGACGGCGTGGACGCCGGTGGGGTCGTCGAGGGGAACGCAGGCCACGTGGCGCGACTCCACGCCACGGCCGCACGTGGCGGAGCACTGAGCGGCAGGGGGGGGGGGGCGTGGTGGGAAATGACGCGCAAGTCAACGGGGACCGTCACGTTTGGTCGCGTGGCAGTGCGGTACGCCGTTGGAGTGCCCGGCCGTCGCACATCTTTATCTCAGATCTTAAATCTCATTTATACCGTGGGGCGCCACGATGGCGAGATGTTAACTACCTCGCCTGGTATGGAGGTCGTGGGTTCGATCCCGACCCTGACGACGCCTGATGTATACGTGGAGTTTGCGTGTCTCTCTCTCCCCGTGGTCGTATGGATTTTTACCATATATAAATTCAAAATGCGTTTAAAGTATTTGCCTGCTATTAAATTGCAGAGGATAAACCACTTCGTTGAGCTACCATTTGTGGCCAGGTCGCTTTTGAAACATAACTAGATAGCTCAGTGGGCCTTACCTGGTAAAAAAAATAACTTTCTAGTTGAGTTTGGAATGCATTTCTCACTGCGGTCATTAATGCAGGACGCCGACGGCGAGCCCAGCAAACGCTGCGACCAAAACTCATCCTACTTCATCCAAGATGCCTAGCCAGCGTGGAAGAGTAGGCAAAATACTCTCTAGAGGGGCTTTATATCACAGCTGCCGGAGACGAGGCCCTGCTAGCGGCAGCTGTGCACCCTGGGGAGTGGTGAGAGGGACCGTGCAGAACCCGCTCTCCCGCGCACTTGCACAGGGCGGGGCGTCCGCGTCGATGGCTACACGGAATCTTCTTCTTGGTTCTTTTGGTAAAGTCATGTAGAAGGGAAATAATAAAATAATAAAAATAAAACATAATAAAATAATTCTCACGACGTTTCGGCTACAATGCAAGCAGCCGTCCTCAGGAATCTGTTAATGAATGAACACGATGGTTTTGCCAGTAACATCATCGGGGTGGGGGGTGGTAGTTAGATGCTGGGTGCGGCGAGGGGCGCATGGCTGGCGGAGAGCTCAGGGGGTCTCACCGGGCTCCAGGCGGAGGCTTGCCACCGCGTGCACGGCCCCGAGGAGCAGGCCTCGCGCTCGTGCGGCCGGGGCAGGTGGGCGCACGCCGCCGCCCCCTCGGCCACGTCGCCGTCCGCGTCGCGGCAGCTCACGTAGCGCTCGCGAACGCCCTCCCCGCATGAGCGCGAGCACTGGGGTGAGATGGGGGCAGTGGGGGGGGGGGAAGCAGAACCTCCGATTAGCGCGGGCAGGCTGTGTATGGCACGTACATACATTACTGGACACCGTGGATCAGGGCCATCGGGCAGGATAAGGCCATTGAAAATAAACCATTGAAAATTGAGCCCTATGAAAATAAAGCGATGGATATCTGACCTGTGATAAATAAGCCCGCGGCAAAGCATGTCTGTGACAGCAGACTTTTGAAAAGTAAAACCAGGAATATTGAAGCTTTCAAAAACACAACTGTGAATACCCAAAGCATGAATGCCAGATCCACGATTGCCATCCCATGAACAATAGTACTGTCCGAATACTTGAATCATGAAAACCAGACAGATGAAAACAACACCTACTTTTTTCGAAAGAGACTATGAAAACCATACCCATTAAAAACGGAACCATGAATATCAGACTGTTTACCATAGAGGCAAGGACACTCTCTGTTGAATATGGGTCCTGGTATATCTTAGCGATCTCTTTTCCGCTTCTGTTTAAACAAGCCGACGGACTGTATAACATTCTAAATGGACTTGCCCGGGCCTATCTATCTCCCCTCACCCCATCCAGGGTACTTTGTTCATCCAGTCTGGAGCTGCTCATTCAGCCTAAAATGAAACGCAAGGCAGTGGGGTCAGCGTGCCTAACAATCTGCAGCTCCCATGGAGTGGAACGCACTCCCACTAGACAGTTGTCAACTTAAGTCCCTTACTCTATTTAAGTCATTTTTAAAAACCCCAAAAAATGTGTTTACTACGGCCAATAATTGAGTTGACCTTGGATCGGGGCATGCGTTCAGATTATTTATATGATTTGGCTGCTATAAATGTCCACGTGATAAGCCACTTCGTTGAGCTATCATTTGTGTCCAGGTCGCTTCTCAAAAAGAAGCTCATAGCTCAGTGGGCTTTGCCTGGTATAAAACAAAAAACATTGTTTCGTTTTATTTGTATATTTTTTTAGTGATTTGTTTACCTTTTCTATACTTTGCACTGCTGTCGTGTTTTTGTACTGTTTTTTGTTGCCCTATTGGACATCTGTGAAAAAGAGCTTTATAACTCATCGGATTCCTCCAGTATAAACAAATATTCTGCTTCTGATGTGTCCTGCGAGGGGCATTTTTTTGTTATAGCTGCTGCCTCGTACAGCGTTGTGAGATGCAGTTTTGCACGAACGACGCTGCAGGAAAAATTGTGTAGTGGGCTCCACAGAGGCGCAAACTCGAACTTGGAGGCAACACATTAATTCTTAACGTGTTGGTACTGACGCTAACCATAGCGTCAGTACCACCCTTCCCTCGGCACTGGCGCTACACTACAGAGACACTATACACGCCACTATAAATATATAAGAGTAATAATAATTATGATTAATGCAGCAGGGAAAGTGGCATCAAGGTGAGTACTCACGTCGGTCCAAGAGCCGAACCTCCACTGCGTCTGGTCCGGGTGGGTCGGATGCCCTGGTGTGCTGGGCACCACGGGCAACGCACACTCCGCCACCGTGCATTCCTGTGTTGGGGCAGAAAGAGCGACGGGCCACTTAAATAAGTCCATCTGAAATAATTGTCTTCTCAATCGTCATCGCGTTAGAGTGATGGGACGGACGTCATTATTGTGGCTGAAAATGCAACCCTGCCTGGCTGTCTGTTATGAAAATCTAGCGTGTGGGCCCAGCCAATAAATTTCACTATTCACTGCCACGTGACCAATGCGTTTGTTCGATCTCATCGACGGTGCTTGCGTGATAAGCTCTTAAAATATCAGTGGTTGTTTTATGTAATTTAATCCGTACCAACAGAGTTTTTCCACATCTGGTGGTGAAAATTTATATGAATTCCATGGGCTATTTAAAATTTTAAGCATTTGCCGGTTCTCATTTCCTTTATCAGTGGGAACCCTCTAACTGTAGCACTAGTCGATATCCCAGGCAATCTTAAGTACGTACTCAATAATAATCAAGTGTCATTGTGTATCTTAACTTCACGTAGATTTGTTTATTGTTTTTCCCGCCCCCAATGTTGTCCCATCGACACGAGATGACGTATAAATGCAGATCTCTCGCAGCGCAATCCTACATGTCGTGACAACTCCACAGGGAAGTGGATTTCGCAGAGCTGCCTCTGAGAGCCCTACAAGTGACCCCTGGTCCACGCAGTGGTGAGCAGCACTTTCCCATCCGCGCCGTCACAAAGAGTAATGTCCATCGCACGATCGTCAAGCTGATTTTTAAAAATAAATATCAAGAGTAAAACATTTTTTATAATCAACGTTTTTGGGTTTAGATCGCGTTATTTATAAATGTGTCATAACCCTCCACCACCCGACACGGCCAATCAGTAAAAAAGTGTCACGTTGACAAAAGACAAATAGTTCACTGCTTTAGCCCACCAGTATGTTGAAGCGTGAAACCACAACGCTTCAACACACCCACAACGCTTCAACACACCGGTGGGCTAAAGCAGTGAACTATTTGTCTTTTGTCAACGTGACACTTTTTTACTGATTGGCCGTGTCGGGTGGTGGAGGGTTACGACACATTTATAAATAACGCGATCTAAACCCAAAAACGTTGATTATGAATAATATTGGTCGCGAAAGCCTACGTGTTAAAGTAAAACATTTAGACACACTCAGGGCAGAACCCCATCTCTTTTCACAACGTGTATTTTTTCGTGTGCAGCCACTGTTAGTCTGGGCTGCCACCATCAACTCACGACGATTGAGAACCCACTTCAACCACAGGCAGTCGTTTGCATTCAACCCCAGGGTGTCAGCGGTGCCAGCTCAGCTCTCTGATTCCTGAGCCACACCTGGCCACGTGGCACGCACGTTTAAAGGGGAGACCACACCAACTGACGATGACTGAGCGTTTATAACGAGGAGGTGGGCACGCGCATGGCTGTCAAGCTCCAGCACTGCTGGGGGAAGGGCCTCCGCTACAGAGGAACTCGAAATCACCTCCCTACGGGGTGTTTTTGCCGACTATTCCACGTCTCGACAGAAGTGGCAGTGCCCCCCCACACACCACTTTACGCCTGCTGGTCGACTGGCCGTGTGTGTACCCGTGCGTGCTGCTGGTTGGACAGAAGCGAGTGGATTTGAGGAAGCCCGCATCGACTGCCGCGCCGGGAGATCGACTTGAACTGGTGGCCTCTGCATTGCAATTCCTGGTGGCATCTGTTCGTCAAAGGGCGCCCGTATATATTCGGGACTTCTGAGGAGGACGACTCCACTTGGCATGTGGAGGCTCCCCTTACTGTTGTCCCTTATCCCCCCCTCCCCTCTATATAATAACCGGCTCTCTCTCGCTTGTAGTCCCCACGTGTGTGGGGCAGTGAGCACAATCTCCTCCACATCTACCGACCCAGGAGAGCATTGAGGCCGGGCCTCAGTCCGTGGGGTTTTTGTACCCCCCCCCCCCCCCCCGTGACCCCCCTACTTGTTGCGCTCGGTGCCTTACACTGGACTCTTGTTTTGTTACGAAGGAAAAACGATGAGAAAACAAAGGGGGGTCACCCGTATACCTGCGTGTGGCTGGGCCGGGCGGTGGCGGCGATGCACCGCTCCTCCGCCACCGCTTCCCCTCGCTCGCCCTCGATGCAGCGGATGGCACGCATCTGATACCCGGGGCCGCACGTGGCGGAGCACTGGTGGCAGTTGGCACGTGGTGCCGTGTGTGTGCGTGCACGTGCGTGTACGTGGGCGTACGTGGGTGTACGTGCGCGTACGTGGGCCGGTGTCATTGAGTTGCGTGTCGAACGTAGGCACGTGTGTGCACGTAGGTGCGTGTAGGTGTTTTAGAGAGTGTGCGTTTGCGAATGAGTATAGGTGTGTATGTGTGTGCACATGGAAGAACGTGCACAAATGAGAAACAAAACAACTACAGTTACAATCGGATATAAGCCACACAAATTAAGCCAAGCGATTTTTTGTCATGTAATTGTTGGGCGCTCACTCATAGCACTTGCCCTCACAGTCTGTTAAAGGCTTTTGTATTTTGTTAATATGTTTGGGTAGTGGTGGAACAGTGATTGGGTGGCACGGTTGCAGAGGAGACAAGACAATCAACGGCACACTGCTCTTCTAATGTGCATTTGTGCAAGGGATGCCCCCTCCCCCACCATCCCCCATATTAGTTCGTACGACGTCTTGGCGTAGAACATCCAAATCCGGGCCGTACAAAAGTTGCACGGCCTATGGGGTGGTAAAAAAAGAAAAAGCCTGAAGGCCTAATCACAGACGCTACAGAAATCCTCGAACGCCTCTTCGCTCATAGGAATGCCCACGAGCGCGTGGGCCGTTTGTGTGAGGGAGGGGGGGGGCGGGTGGCCCGTACCGGTCCCCACGGTCCGTCCTGCCACGTGGAACACGGAGGCCCGAGGCAGGCGCGCACGGAGTCCGGCCGCCCGTCCGGGCCGCACATCTCCTCCGACAGCACCGAGTCCCCGGCACGGCACTCGACGTGCCGCCTCGACACGCCGCGCCCGCACGTCACCAGGCACTGCAACCCCGCGGCACGCGCGCAGACACGGCCACCATCAGCCGTGCCTCGGACGCGTGTCCCGACATCAGTCTGACGTTTTCTTTTTTTCTGTTTGTCTGGCTGCCTACATACTTAGGCATCCATCCATCTCTCCGTCTGCGTGTCTGCCTGCCTATCTGCGTCTACACCTGCCTGTCTATCTGGCTAACCCAACGACTTGTCCATCTACCCATCTACCCATGTAATGTTTTGCATCCACTCATCCAACAGTGTGTCTGTCTGTCTGCTTCATACCAAGCTGTCTGTGTCTGAATATCTTTGTCTGTCAATCTGCTTGTATACCAGTTAGTCTTTGTCTTTATGTCTGTCGGTCTTCTTCTATGTCCCGTCAGTCTGTCGATCTTTTTGTCTGTCTCTGTGTCTGTCTGTTTTTATATCAGTCAATCTGTTAGCCTTCCTGTCTATTTCCACGCCTGTCTGTTTGCTTCTGCACCAGTCAGTCTGCCTGTCTCTGTGTCTGTCTGTCTATCTGCTAGTCTGTCTTCCCGCTCAGTCCGTGTGGCTGTCTACAGTAAACGCGAGTTGAGTGTATGTGTGTCTGTATGTTAAACTTCTTTCGCACCGTACGTAGCCAACCGTGCTAATTCAAGGTGCGGGGGAAGGTCAACAAACTAAACACAAAAGAGTAACTTTTCAATGCAGATCACTTAAAAGTGCACAGCTCCAGCGGCTTCCTAAGATCATAAGCAAGAGCGTTCCAGACGGCCGCAGAAGAACGTCTGAAAGGGCACCTTGCTCCAGTCCCCGAGTGTCCAGGCCGGGCAGGGCTGCAGGCCGCACGGCTCCTCGCTGGCGAGACGCTCCGCCAGCCCCGCGCACTCCTCGGGCCGCAGTGGCCTGCCGGCGCCGCTGACGCACGCGGCCTCGCGCGCCCGCACGCCCCCGCCACAGCTCCGCGAGCACTGCCAAGCGGACAGCGCGCCATGGTGGCGTTGTTCGTGGATGGAGATGCTGGGTTTTTGTCGTTGGTTTGTGCTTGTACGTCAAGGAGGTTGCTTTTTTATGTTAAACTTGCTACTACTGATGCTGCGCATGGCTGGGTAATTAAACCAAGTTGACCGGGATTCGAGCACAGAATACGGACCATTAGACCACTACTTACTCTTAGACCCCGAAAGACAAAGATCCCTTGTATAGCTTCAACAGACTGTTGGGGCAAGTGCTGTTAGCGAGCACCTATGAAGGTCAGCACGGCACACGAGGGGGATGCTGGCCAGCACCACGCTGGGCCACCTATGTCTCCCGAATGGAAATGTTTTTCTTTTTTACACATCACACTAGGTACTCAATGTAGGCTGAGTCGACCTAGGGGACGCCCAGGACCGATTCAGATAATCGCCACTGGTGTTGGTGGCCGTGAGAAGGAATCGAACTCGGGACCCCCACTCACACACTCACTCGCCTACACTAGCAACCACCAAACAAAGAAGTATGGGGCAGTGTGGGTTTGTGAGTGACACGAATGTGTGCGTGCGTGTGTGTGTCTCCATCAGAGAGCCCAAACAATAGGGGCGAACGCTCAATGTGAATGTCAGACCCATTTGTCATCAGCTGGGCGGGCTACAAATAACCGTAAGGATACAAGCCCTGGCCCCGGCAATTTGACTCCAAGCGTGACCAGAGGTAACGTAATCCGCAGGCAGCTACTCCGGATCCAATTCTCTCCTTGTGTTTTGAAAACGTAATCCATTGCTGCGCCCAGAGCCCCCCCTTTGTGAATTGTGTTGAAAATGCAACACTATAACTGTTTGGATTTGCAGTTTGCTGGATTTGGAATGCACACAGGCATGCCAGTGTGTCCGTATCTCCACACACACACTAACTTACCCACCCATTAACTCACTAGCTCACAATTCACTCAATCCAGCATTGTCACAAACTTACTCTCCCACACTCACACATCAACTCACTCATTCACAAACGACTTATCCACTTTCAGTCAACCACTAACTCAACATTCACCCACTATCATTATCATCACACACTCTCCCACACTCAGACACATCTACTCACTTACTCACGAATTACTTACCCACACTCAGCCAACCACTAACTTGCTAAACATTCACCCGTTTCGACAGCATCACACATTAACTCAACAACAATGCGTCGAGTGGTTGCGACATCACCACAGCACTTGTGCCAGGATAGGTGCACTTTGAGGTCGCGTGAAGTGTCGAAGGCTCAATTGCAGGTCAGGGCCAGATGTTGTGGGTTAACTCACTGAGATCACCGCACACCATATACTCTCACACACACAAATACACGGATACCCCGTGTAGCCTTTAACAGCCCCTTGGTGAAAGTGCTGTTTGCGAGCACCTGTGAAGTCCGGCACACCACATGAAGGGGTGGTGGACGGTCAACACCACGCCCAGTCACCTTTGTCTCCCCAGTGTTGATGGTTACACATCACCCCACTTACTCATTTAAGGCTGAGTAGACCTAGGGGAGGCCCAGGACTGGTTCAGATATTCGACATTGCTATTGGATCGTGAGCAGAAATTGAACTCAGGTCGCCGGGTTAATAGCGCAGTGCGCAAACCACTACCGCTCTTCACTGATACAAACTCTCACACACACACACCGCACACACGCACCATACACTCACACGTGACCCCGTGTTGTCACAACATGTGAGCCGTCCATGAATGATGAGAGATGCAGTTACGAATATATGCATTCGCAAAACATTGGACAAAGAAGCGACGTATCGTCTTTCTTGGTTGCTGGGGCAATACGAGCACTGTTAGCGAGCACCTATTAAGGTCGGCATGGCGCGCGAGGGGGGGCGGGGGGGGGAGGGTAGCGCCCGGCTACCTTTATCTGCCAGGTATTGATGTGTATACATTGCAACAGGCAGGCCTACGCTCATTTCAGAGATGAGTTGAACTCGGAGAGGCCCGGGTGAGCGGCAGCCTAGAAATGTAATGCGTCTCAGAGGGCGTCTAACAAGGAGATGCGAGCGATGGAATCGGTTCATGTGCAAGTGCTTAGGTGGGTTATTACACCATCAACCCACTATTACACGTACATCAACTCACTTATTCACTCACTGAGATATTGTCCACTCTCAATCGCTCAATAACTCCGTCATGAACTCAATTGCGCACTCACTCACTCACCCATCCACTCACTCACACACCCATCCATTCACTCAGTCACCCACCCAAACACCCACCCACTCACTGAGCCAATACCCATACGCCCACTAACATACTCACTGAGCCAACCTCTCACCTACTCACTCTCTGAGCCAACCACTCACTCATCCAATCCATTCACTGCTCACCCACCCACCCATTCACTCGCTCGCTCGCTCACTCACCCACCCGCCCAATCGCTCACATGCTCACCGAGGCAACTACGCACTCGATCCGTCGCTCGCTCGCTCGCTGGCTCCCACCTACCTCTGACCACGGCGAGTATCTCCACGTCACCAGCTTGCACTGGCCGTAGCAGGCCTCCCGCGTGGACGGCTTGGGCTGGTCCCTGCAGTGCGCGTCGTCCGTCGGGTGAGAGGGGCTGCCCCTCCTCCCCGCGGGCACCGCCGCGTCTCCTCCGGCCGCGGGCGGCTCCTCCGCGGCCGGCCCGCCGACGGAGTAGCGGACGCAGCGCACATCCAGAGTGCGGTGACCCGAGCCGCACTCCGCCGAACAGTCGCTGCGGCCCAGCACGTGCCACCTGCGGGGAGTTGTGTGTTTGTGACTCTCCTCTCAGCCCCCCTGCCCCGCGCCACCCCTGCAGCCACCAACGCGTCGTACTGCACGGAGGCCTTGCTAACGCGTCGTACTGCACGGAGGCCATCGTTTGTCCCACCGCTGCGTGAAGACCTCCCCACCCCCACCCACCCCCCCCAGCAGCCATTGCGGCATCGTGCCGGTTATTCGGCCATACTTCCCCCCCCCGTCCCACACACTGACCAGCGTGGGGGGATACAGAGGTGGGGAGCGTTGGCCAGGCGTAACTCTCGAGAACTGATGAGAAAGTGCCCAGTCACGCTCATCTGGTCATAGGTGTTGGCTAAAAAGTTAAGAAGAATGCAACATGAATTACCGTAACATCTCCATGATGACAAATATCAACACGGAACCCAGCAACATTTCATAGGCTACAACATGCTGATGAGAAGCGGAAAGATGAAACCAGTTGAGGGTTTGCCTGCTTAATCAATTGCTGCTGGAAATGCGTCGGTAGAGACGCTCCTCTTGGCTGATGGACTTAAATGTAATGCTATGAGATATATTGCCATCGCAGTAGACTATTGGTTATTCATTGTTTCATAACAATGAGAGATGTTTGTACTTATTCGTAATAATGCAACCTTGCAAAAACACCCATTTAAAGAAAGTCAGCACATTCACAGCAACGTATACAGAATGCAACTGTAAGCTGCTTGAACATTAACTTAGGTAAATTAATAAATAAAACTGACTTCTTTCTTTTACTGGAATGTTTTGCAAATAATGTAATAAGCATACAAATACACTTTTTAATGAAACAGCAGACACGTACTTATAACGAAAACTGCACCAGTGCCAATAAAATAAATGTATTAATTTTAAGGCCCAAAAAAGCCACACTTAATTGACCTGGATTTCACAGTGATTTCACAATAAGCCAAGAAGTCACTGATACCACAAAAAAAACCTTTGGAAAGTCGTAAGAGCTACGCTTATGAAGGCAGCGGTTGGAATAAGCACTCGTGCTTTGCTGCAAGTGAACATTTCATCCCATTTCATTAACGACAGCAGCTTAGATCTGTCACGTACAATGTTGGTCCGATCTCAAAGCTGCAGATGTGTCATACAATAGCAGCACACAGCCTTTAATGCCCCGTCTGCTGCAATTTGCTGTTTGTTCAACTGCACTCGGCGCATGTCAGATATACTGCGCACGGTAAATGTGAAATCCACCACGCTGCCTTTAACTTGCATAATGCACTGCAATTTGCAGTCCTTAGTCGCATCCACTGCTGGATGAGGGTCTACCCAGGCTGTGTGAGTTGTGGGGGTTGCGTAACCATACTTCACCACGCTGGTCAATGCGGATTGGTAAAGAGCTTTCCCAGGACCGGTTTCCTCACTTAATACGTAAGTGGGGTTTATTTTTTTTATCTTTTGTTGCGTACAGAAATTCCTGTGTAGGCTGAGACAATAAATTCGTCACACCAGAGAAAGCTGACTTAATCACGGGTGGCTGCAGCCCTAATTGGAAGCCGGGATCACAGAAGTGGAGGCTCGCTGCCCTGACAGCGCGAACCACCCGGCCACCCCAACATGTTGATTCTAGATAGACTCATGAGTAAGAAAATGTCTCATCTTGTTCAGAGGGATGTCGCGTCTTCTAACACTGTTAACCCATTGCCCTCCCCGACTTGAATTTCTTGCCATTGTGTCATGCTTCCTCACACAATGAGCTTGCAATCCGGAGGTTGCCCGGTTTGATCTATCGATACGGTATTTTAAACAATGGGAAGTTTTCTTAAATCCCTCCGTCTCTGCCCACCCAACAATATAAAAATGGGTGCACCACAGTTTGGAGATTGTCAGATCGTGTGCGGTGCGGAAACATTAAGTTAAACCAGCTCTTCCAAGACGTTTGGCCAGCGTGGACGAGTAGGCCAAAGGCCCTTTAGGCGAGGGCTCCTTGTGAATCTCACTGGTGGAGGCCTGTCCGCCAGCAGTGGCGTGAGCGAGCACACTTGTAGTGCTGCACCTTTACTCCCTGATCAGCGTAAAAATAATAATATTTTTTATTTACTTTACCAGGCAAGGCCCACTGAGCTATATGGTTTTTTTTTCATAAGTGACCTGGTCATAAATTATAGCTCAATCAGACGCATCCACTGAACACGTGGCACGGTGGGCATTCAAGTGAAGGACAGGAAGAGGAGGCGGGAGGGAGTGAGGGAGGGGGGGGAAGGTAGATGAGGGAGAGAGGGAGGGGAGATAGGGGGGAGGGAGATGAGGGATGGAGAGAGGGAGGGAGGAACAGAGAGAGGGAGGGAGGGGAGGGAGGGGATGGAGGGAGGGAGGGAGGGAGGGAGGGGAGGGAGGGAGGGAGGGAGGGAGGGGAGGGGAGGGGAGGGAGGGGAGGGAGGGAGGGAGGGAGGGGAGGGAGGGAGGGAGGAGAGGGAGGGAGGGAGGGGAGGGACGGAGGGAGGGAGGGGATGGCGGGAGGAGGGGGAGGGAGGGGAGGGAGGGAGGGAGGGAGGCAGGGAGGGAGGGGAGGGAGGCAGGGAGGGAGGGGAGGGAGGGAGGGAGGGAGGCGGGAGGGAGGGGAGAGAGGCAGGGAGGGGGGATGATCTCGGCACGGTGTTACCTTAACTCACACTCTGAGTTGCACGGCTCGGACAGGGACACCGCGGGCCTCGGCTGCCCGGCGCAGCGCTGCTCCGACACGGGGTGGCGGTCTCCCTCGCGCACGCACGCCACGCGGCGAGAGCGCTCGCCTGGTGCGCCGGATCGGGGGGGGGGGGGGGAGACAAGCACGGTGGGGCGAGGCACGGTCACGGCTCTTAGATAAGAAACAAAAACGTGTGTCCTAGGTCTTCCCTAGGTCGACTTAGCCTCAAATGAGCACCTGCTTGCGCTGTGCGGTGTGTAAAAACATCGCCACTGGGGAGTGGCGGCGGCCACCTAACCCCTTGTGAGATATGCTCGGCCTTCAGGAGGTGCTCGCTAACAGCACTTACCCCGACAGTCTGTTACGGCTATATGGGGGATCTTTGTACGTGAAATAAATAGTCACTTGAAGGGACCTCAGCAGTAGTTCTGTGATATCACCTTCTGCGACCCGTTCTCCAACACAGAGAATGAACATTGCTTCATCAATGGGCAGTTAGTCTCATGACAATTGGAATACGTCTGCAATTCAAACGAACAAAAAGGGTATACCTTAAGTTTGTCAGGAAAAGCATGCATGTATTCTGCGTGTACGTTGAACTTCTTTTGCACCGCACGTAGCCGACCGTGCTAATCGGAGGTGCCAGGGGAAGGAATAAAAACCCAACGTCTCCTCACCTCAACCACAACCTCAGACCTGAGGTGGCCTCGCACCTTAAGGGGTTCACAACTCTGTCCAGGGCCACTGTACACATGCATGTATGTTGGACTTCTTTCGCACCGTACATAGCCAACACGTGCTCGAATTGGAGCGCGTGTTGACTTTCAACGCACCTTGGCAAATGCGGCTGCAGTCCTGCCAGGGCCCGTACGGGTCCCAGACGAAGCGCTCGCTCTGCTCCTCCATGGGCACGTTGAAGGTGTAGTGCACGTCCGGGTTGTGCAGGCGGCCCACGGACAGCACCTGGGAGGGCGAGCGCAGCAATGCAGCGACCGTCTTACTTCCCGTCGCACGGCCGCTGACGCGGACGCTGAGCGACGGCTGCGATTTCGCATTCGGGTTGTCGAGGCAGACAACCGCGGAGGGAGCAGCGGAGGGGTTGTATCGCTGCGACGTCTCCTGCGCATTTGTCGATCGGGCATTGCGTCGTTACACGTTGTACGGCCTTGTTCTGGGTGACCACAGTCGCACACTACTGGAGAGTTTTTCATTTTCCATTTGTGCATCAGGTATCCGCATGCACTTACGTGGTGTGTGCAGTGGACGCGGTTTTAGGGTGGACCGTGAGCTGGGAGATGGCTGCGGCCTTCACGCGGCCTGCTCTGTTGAGTGGACGAATCACGACGAATGCCGCCCCCAACGCGGCGACCGAACATCGGTCATCGATCTCCCGGTCTCCAGAGCAACAACGCAAGGCACGGTGACCGGAGGGTCGAGTGACGACGCGATCGTTAGCCTCGTATGCGACAAACGTGGACAAGCGTCGAGAAGCTAAGAGCTCGGTGGGCCTTACCCGATTAAATAAAATAAAATAAAAATTATTTGTGAACAATTTTTTTGTGATTTGCTTACCTTTCCCATACTTTGCACCCCCTTCGTGTTTTTGTGGTTTGTTCTTGTAACGTTCTGACCTGCCCCTACTGGAAATCGGTGAAAATTTGCTTCACAGCTCATCAGATTCGCTTCAGTATAAATGAAAATTCTGAGAATATTCGCATCGTCTCGTTTGTACATCTTTCTCGCTGCACCGTCCCATGCTTACCCACTGCCTAAAAGTAAAATTAGAAAATAAATCTGCATACCTGGTAAATAATGCAGTCTTGCGGATTTCAACGTAAGCATCGTAAGCAACGAATCCACACACCGCAGCATTTCGATTGGATGGCGATTGCCTCCTATTTGTGATCTGAAGCCAGCGTTGGGAATCTCACCATTCCCATGCAGGAGAAAAGTCTATCAAACGGACAAAGTGCTTTGATTTCCACTAATGTGGTACTTATTTTGTCTGCTCAGGGTCCGCTATTTGCACCTGACTTAACAACCCAAAGGTTGCGAGTTAAAGACTCATTTGCGGATCAATTCAGCCCATAATATATCGAGCGTCAAAACTATAAATCATATGGAAAGTAAGTCAGTTATTTTACTGAGAGATTTAGTCTCTGCCATAGTAAAGTGGAATTTCCACTATTGGCTCAGTATGACCAATTCAGGTGAGTATCAATGCTCGCTTTGCCAGTCCGAATTCACATATGAACTTGAATGCATTTCAAATTCTCTTGCTGGCAACATTACTACTAAACACCACCAATATTACCAACATCACCACCACCATAACCACTATCATCACTGCTAACATCACCACCACTAACACCACCACAACCACTATCATCACCACCACTATCGTCTTAACGCATAACATTTCCCAAGAGAAACACCGTTTCAAAGAGAAACGTACAACACTACAATGCATTAACCAAGTGCCAATTGAACTGCCCACGCACAACACGACATTGATGTCGGCTCCCGGGGCAGCTGGGATGAACGGCTGATGAAGTAGTGACAGCTCGCGATAGATTGACACGTGCCGACAGCTCACGGATTCAAGTGTCACCGTGACCTGAGGCTTGCCAAACCCTCGCCTTGCATGGCAGCAACAGGGACGTGATACGCGCTGAAGATTGGGCCATGACAGGCAGGGAACTTCAGCTACTTGGAGATGACAGGGTGAAGTGCAGAAGCTTAAATGGTGCAAATCGCCCTGCCATCATTTAGTTGTCTGTGTTGTTCTGTTTTTCATAGGGCACAACGCAGGGGTAATACATCATTACGTTCATTATTATGTTAATTAATGACATTAGTATTATTATTATGGGCACCACAGTGGTTAAATGGTAACTATCTCGCCAGGTATACAGGAGGTCGTGGGTTTGATCTCAACCCTGACGTCTGCTGCATGTTCTCGCTGTGGTCGCGAAGAATTTTCACCGGGGTCCTTAGGGTTTTTCCTCCACAATTATAATCAACGTGCAATTAGAGTATTTGGCTGCTATACATTTCCACATGATAAGCCACAAAGTTGAGCTATCATTTGTGATCCAGGTCGCTTCTGAATAAGAAGCTAATAGCTCTGTGGGCCTTACGTGGTAAAATAAAAAAAATGTGTTAATATAAAAAGTTTTAGTTTCGTTTCAATAGTTAAATAGTTTAGTTTAGTTAGTTTTTCGAAAAAATTGAAGTAACTGGAAAGAGAGGACATAAGAGATTGGTGCCAGAAAGATGTTGCACTACTTGAATAAATTGGCACAAAGACAGAGGAAAGTGTAAACAAATGAATAAATGTGCAGTGGACACCAACGAGTTTATCTGCCCCATGGCTCGTGATGATGATGATTTTAATCAAGCGCGAGGCTGTCGAGACGACGCTACGTCTCGCAGGACCTCGCGGGGCACTGGGGCGGGCGGGGGGAAGGCCTGTGGCTTGCCTGCAGCACGACATCCTCGGGTATGCGGTCGGTGCAGTTGATGCGCTCCGTCGCGTGGTCCGAGCCGCTGTACTCGAGCACGGCCACGCCCACCTTGACCTCGCGCTTGAACATGCTCACCACGAAGTTCCCGTTCAGCAGGAAGTCGCCCTGTGCCCCGGTCAGCGCTGCGGACGGCGGGGAGAAAGAAGTGCCGACACAAAGCGATTGGCGTTCGTAACGCCTTCATAGGCTCGTACGCCACGGAGGGTTGCCGAGCTTTCCCGCAGACCGACCACGGATATATTTTCTCACTCGGCCTGAGTCTTTCGCACCTGCAGAAAGTGTAATTGCAAAAGACTCCGCACGTCCGATTAGCACGGATGGCTGCGTGCGCTGCGAAAGAAGTTCAACATGATACATATGGATAAAGTAGGGACACGACTGTATATACAATATATTCAGGCACTTTTTGTAGCACAAACCAAAAACCTGCCTGTTACAAAGAATAAACAAACTGCTGCAGTTTTCAGTTGGAGTGATTTTGCACCCACGATTAGAGTGAAAAGCCATTATCATCATCAGTTTTTAGCACAAGGTTCCACAGCGGTTGGTATTCCAGCCCAGAGGGGCATGAGATTGCAGCAACTGAGCGATTATACTCTCGTAATAAAGGCGCGGCAATCGCTGAGAAATCTCCGCGTCAGCCGAATTAGCCGTCGAGGTCCAAGAACGCCGCGCAGCCACACTTGGGAAAATAAGCAGGCGTGCAAAGGGCTTAGGGAGGCTTTCGATAATGAACTGCAGATAATCATAATAATTCTGAGCTAATGGGGAAATTTCTGTACACGCCACGACTTGCCAGAGTTCAAAGCCTCCTATGTAATAAAAACAAAATGAAAATCCCTTTAGACAACAACGAAAAAAAATCTCATTAACAAATAGGACAATCCCAGTCGTTGGACTTGTGCTGAGGGATCCAAAAAAATAAGGGCCTCGTTGTTCGCAAGCAATCAAAGCAGATTACAGTGGAAATAACGCAATACATTCCACCATGCACTGACGATGGCTATCAGTGAGAGTGAGTGCCAGGTACCGGGGATTATGTGCATTAGTGGTGACTGCACACACACGCACACACACACGCGCATTCACCGCTCAGTGGCAATAAAATATTGCATCGTTAAGTTTGGTCGCGGAATTCCGAAACGCGAGCCAAATTGCTCTGGTGGGTTTTTTTTTGCTCATTTCAGCAAGAATCCAGGACTCTTGATGGAGATGCACAGTGGGGGTGAAGGCAAAGTCGGGCGGATAACGCGTACACTCGAACATCCACACGGAGCACTGACGTTGGCCTTCTGAGACACTTATATTTAAAGCTTTTGTGACTGCAGGGATTCATCTTCTTGGTTCTTTCGGTAAAGTCACGTAGAAGGACTAGCAATCCGCATGTAACTCCAGATCAGTCTCGTGATATGGCAGTGGAAGCAGAGGGCGCGTCTCTAAAACACCATCACCACCTCTGTCCACCCCGCAGTATCAATGGGTTCACCACGTTCAGTCGATCCGCAGGTCGTCTGTGGCGGGGTAAAGCGTGGAGACTTCCGCTGATCTGCAACACCTCAGGCCAGTGTGGAAGAGAAGGCCAAAATAGCTCTCTAGAGCTCCCTCGAGTGGAGTCTCTTCTGCCCGCAGTGGCATGAGCGGGCACTTGCAGGGCTGCACCTTTACCTTTGATATGCATGACAACAATAGCTACAGCCGCAATTTGCCACTAAGTGGCGGTGACGTAACCACAGCCCTTGTGCCAGGTTAGGTGCATTCATATACATTTATTTAACCAACTCATCACACAATATAGCCTCTAACGTGTTCCATAAGGCTTCGTTATAACTGTCCTGCTTTGTGCTTTTCCCATTATCTAACATCCAAAAAAATTTAAAGTCCCAAATCCACTGATTAGGGTCGATGCCCCCTGGTTTAACGTTTTCCCACATCGAACATTTAATTCCGCTGATACCCACTGCCCCCCCCCCCACCACCGCACCTCTGAAAACACGAAACCGAGATTTCGCTCCCTCGCACGTGGGTAAAGTCCACAATACAATTTAACTTGCATTGTATGGTTACATTAATACTCACGGGCATTCACGAAGGGACTATGCAAATGTTCCACTGGGCTGTAGTTTTAGCTGAGCCTTTGTTAACACCTGACGACGCTGGCCGTAATCTCCAGGGAAAGGTCGTGAGTAAAAACATTTGCCACAATACTGCTCGCCTTTCAAAAGTGCTCCGGATTTTTCTGAGAAAAAAAAACAATCGGCACGTTTGCCCGCGACGTGACACCCCGATTTGATTGGCTGCGAATTGGAACAACACCAGTGCGATCTGACCCAAAAGTAACTCATTACGAACCATAACGTTGGTCGTGAAAGCCTTCGTATGATAAAAAATGAAAACAATTCTACCGTGCAAGTTTTCCCGGTTGTGCCGCGTGGAGTTTGGCGACGGGCGAGTAACGTACAGCTTCAACTTTTATTTTTCTAAACAAAATTTCTCAACGAATTGTGGAGCCTATTTGGCTACCGTTGAATGCGCCATTCATAAACGACAATTAAATCAAGAGTTCCGTCCTGCCTAAAAATCCTCCACCCCCCCCACACACACCTCTCATCCAACATCCATTCCCCAGGCACAGACTCGCTAACCAGCGGGGGCATTCGATGTGCAAACTCGGCCAATGCTATCAGATTGCTTACAAATAAAACTGCCTCTTTTTCTCTGCAGAACCTTGGACATGCGCCCTGACTGGCACATTACAAAACACTCCTTTCCGTAATCACATTAAGCCTCAGAGAAATTAAGCCCTGCAAAGCTTTCCTTTCTGCCTCTCCTTTTTTTCCGCTGCCCCCTTATTATCTTGCACTCATTTAGAGTCAATTCAATTGCTTTCGGGCCCCCGCTTTGATTCAGCAAGAAGAGGGCATGGGAGGTGTTTTCACGATGCTTGCCAAATCTTGGAGATCAGCGTGTAAGGTTACGTACGCTTGCTTTGTTTTGCTCCGCTTATTTTGAAAAGGAGGGGGGAAAAAATGGGGAGAGGAGGAGGGGGGGGGCGGCGGGAGGTTGGTGATGTTTTGCTTGGGAAAAAACAAGCTACGAAGAAGAGCGGGTACACTGCACTTACACGTTTATTTTTTATTTTTCGCCAACTTATTTCCTTCTCTCTCGCCCGTTCGGAATGGAGGCTGGCGGTCCAGGCTCAGTCCCCTTGCGGCCAAACGGTCAGAGTGCACGAAATTTCAACATTTCCCAGCGGGGAAAAAAAAAATCCAAAATGATTGGATCAGAGGCAGTTTGTGACCTACTTCCAATGAACGCCGGACACTCGCTCCCTTCAGAACATTCTTGCGGTCGAATTGGCGAACGACGCAGTGTCTGCAAATGTCATGGTGCAGTTCCGTGCAGGAAATGACAAAGGCAACGATCGGCACGCCGCTGCTAACGCAGCCGAATAAAGACGCTTCGGAATGCCGATCACGACTCGCTTACAATGCAGCGTGTGAAGTGACTACAGCAATGTTCCACAGCTTGCCACACTTGTAACGGGGAATCAAGATTGCATCAGTCTCCCACCACTCTGCATGAATATCTACGTGTGTCCTGAACATAAGTGGGCACTGGAGTGGAGAATTTTGGGTGTTTCTGCAAATCTGTCTGTGCATATGTATACGAATGTGAGTGTGTGTGCCGTGCCGGCCTTCATAGATGCTCGCTGCCTTCCCCTACTCCTGTTCCCTTCCCCTTGTGTTGATCACCAAGTAAGGTATCATATCCGGACTCATTCTCGCAATGCGTCTCAACCACTGTAGACTTAACTCTGTACTTAACCACCTATCTCTCTCTCTCCGTCACTCTACAACTTGCTCATTCAAGCCACTTAATGGCCACCTCCCGCTAAACGACAGTGTTGGATGAAAGGTACCTCAATGACATTGTATCAGAGCACACGGGCGCACAAGCAGCCCTACGGGCGCACACGTGCAAGCAAATACGGCAGCCCCATTCATCCACACATCCGTCCACGCACCCACCGATCCGTCTGCCTGCACTCTCACACATCCAATCCATCCATCCATGCGCCCACACGTAATAGACTCAGCTGTCTGTCCGCCAGCCCACCCGCCTGACTGCTCGCCCTCTCGCCCGCCTGCTCTCTGATCGTAGCCTCTCACCCAGGTAGTTGTCATCCTCAGGTTTCCCCGAGAAGCTGCGCTGCAGGACATCGATGCTGGTGGCTCCAGCTGGGATCCTGACCACTGTGTTGTAGCCTGGATGGTGGTGTAAGACACACACGCACACATGCACGCACACGCGCATATACAATATATGCGCACATATACAATTATACATATGTGTTACACTCACAGGCATTTTATCAATCCACTGGATACTTGAGCACTGAACAGTGCGAGTTGGTGAAGGCGGAAAGTATGAATGTCGGAGCATAGAAGTACGGTGCAACTATGGGATTTGCTGCACTGCCATCTGCAGAACACCACGTAGCCCAAGCTGGCACGTATGGTGGCTAGCTATTGAATGACTATCTGGCTCAACCCTGAAATGTCAAGGAAGTAGTTTGCCGGTGATTTGATCATCGGCAAATTTATACATACCCACGTATGTATTTAGAGACATTCATATTCATATATATTGTACATTCATACACAGTGCCTACACTTAACTCCACGACACGTGGCCTTGCTGTACCCATTTACACTGCTGTGTGGACAGAGGCAGTGGTGGTGGAGGATTGAAGAAACGTGCCTCAGCGTTTCAACCGCCACGCCGGAAGAAAACCAAATCGAACCGGCAACCTCTGGATTGCAAGTTCAATTTCGCTGGCCGTCACGTCACGGTGGCAATCCACGTGTTAAGTAATCGTGCCATCCATTTGGACCTCTTCGCTTGGTTCACAATGTGGTTGCAGGAATACCATGCTATGTTTTGTTTTTGAAATAGCAGGGATGTTTCACGCGCTATATGAGAATCACTCACAGGGAATAAACTGCTTTTGGTTTTGCATATGAGGCTAGAAGAGATGTGGCGAGCTTTACTTGCAAGCCAGTAGTCGACAAAACGCGTATTTAATCATTTCCCTGCGACATTTTTACGTGTTTCCTACTGCCGGCGCGATCCACGAATTCTGAGAAAATGCCATGGGTCGATGCAAAGCGTGGTCATTCCACGCTGCTTTGTTAGGGATTCCTAACAAACCAGCAACGGCTGGGATTGTTGTCTGGGATGCGACCTCATGGACAGGCGTCAGGGGCTCGGCATTAAACCCACGACCTCCCGTACACCAGGCGAGGCAGGTAAAACATCTCGCCACCACGCAACTTCGTTCTAGACTTGAAAGGCCGGGGAGAGCAATCGGTGGCGAGGGCGACGGCTTGGCCCTGAAACTGACACCTTTTTTACAAGGAGTCATGTTTGCATAGACCACAATACCTGCAGTCATAATCCAAACAAAAACATAACTCTGATAATGTATGCACTGTCCTTGAAGTTGATTAGTCCACACCCGAGACAGCTTTCCTTAGAGCCTAGTCTCACATGGGTTGGACCAGATGATGCCTTTTGGCGTCATCTGGCTGCAGGTATTGTGGTCTATGCAAACATGACTCCTTGTAAAAAAGGTGTCAGTTTTGTTGCCAGATAGAAGGGTAAAAAACCAATTATCATATTTTGTTACTGGCAAATGAGGTTCCAATGGTGTAAATGCTTACCCCGAGCTCTCATACTCTGATGGTGCATTGTCTTTGAGTTGTGCGCCTTTTGGCGTCATCTAGTCCAACACCATGTGAGACTAGGCTCTAAGGAAAGCTGTCTCGGGTGTGGACCAATCAACTTCAAGGACAGTGCATATATTATCAGAGTTGTGTTTTTTTGTTTGCATTATGGCTGCAGGTATTGTGGTCTATGCAAACATGACTCCTTGTAAAAAAGGTGTCAGTTTTGTTGCCAGATAGAAGGGTAAAAAAACAATTATCATATTTTTAACTGGCAAATGAGGTTCCAATGGTGGCTTGGGCCTTGCTTGAGGGACGCCGCGTACCGTACTGCACGCTGTGGAACGTCCCGCTCACGGTACGGCATGACGAGTTGTCGCCCCCGCACACCCCGCACTTGTCTCGCTTCGCCCTCGAGTTGAGGATGTGGTCGCAGCCCGCTTGCTGTGGTGGGGGAGGGGGGGGGGGCAGGCACGGCGCACCTCCGATGAGCACGGTTGGCTACGTACGGTGCGAAAGAAGTTCAACGCGCGTGCATACAAAAACTCAAAAGCTAACGGGTGGGCCCGACACACTCGACGTTAAACGAACCTTAAGTGAATGTTTCACCATAAAACGATTCGCTTTGTTACACCACGCATTCTGCTCTAGATCTCGCATTCTCTATGCAAGTAAATATAATTAAAACACTGCAAGAATTTTGATGGGGAACTGAGTCTTCAGCGTGAGACATTAGGGGGGCTCACCCCCCCATCCAGGCACCCTCCCAGCCCCTGCCCCAGCCCACCCCACTGCGTGTGGCCAATTGACTCAGCGGCCTCCTTCAAGGCTGGAAGGGAAATTGAAGGAGAAGAGAAAGCAAGGTGGCTAACCGTCCCCACGCTCAAGCAAGCGCCGGCCTTTTCTCACCGCTGCCGGTGACCTCGAGCTCTGAGCTCGTCGTGGAAGTTCCACATTCCTCTGACGGCGAGGGGGCAGGGGAGGCGGGGCGAAGGTACCAGCCTTGTCCCACGTCCGCGCGTCGATTCCAGCGAAGCGCTTGGCTACCGGCGTGGATGGCTTAACCGTCACGCCATCACCGCCCCCGCCCCCCACCCCCCCTCGTTCCCGCAGCCCAGCGCCGCCACGCGTGATAATGGAGCGAGCAGGGATTGGTGCAATCAAAGAGTGAAACCGTCGCCCCGCGTGTCGTGCCGCCACCCACAGCTCACGGCATCTGGGGTTACAGCCGTCTCGCGAGGGGACGGCCGAGTTTCACCTGGTGTCAGAGCACCCTGTGGTGCGAACATAAAACTCGCGCGCGACAGAGGACAACTTGTAAACGCTTGGTTCTCACGCGCACTGTTTTGGAAATTGAATGCACGTAATACCCTATGTTTTACGTCTCTTCGATATTTTATTCTTTTTTTTTGGGGACTTTTTTTTTTTTCCAACTGAGGGGGAGTTTCCCGTGCTTTCGTTGCCGGAGCGCCCCTTCTCAAAACAAAGCAAGACCGCCGAACGAAGAGCAATCGCTGGCTCTCCTCAAATATAAAGAGGGGGATGGGGGGGGGAGCGGGGGCGTGCTCCGTTTGATAACGAAGGCACGCTCGCACGCACACTTCTTACGCGGCGTGTCCAGCGATGCGGTAAAGCGAGCGGCAAAAAAAAGTGCTGCAATGACAGCGAGAGCCGTGTACGAGTGGAAAGTGCTGCCCGAAGCAACGGGGACTTTAAATGGCTCTTGGACGTGACAAAGGCTCCAGGAGCAGGTGGGACCAACACTGATCCATTTCCCAGCCCCACCCGCCCAGTGCTGACAACATTGAAACACTTTCTCCACACCAAATTCCCCACCGGGCCCCACTAGACCCGACTGGGCCCCCCGTGCCCCACCAGCTCGACCGGGCCTGCCCCCCCCTCAGGCCCCACTAGACCCGAGTGGGCCCCCCAGCCCTACCGGGCCCCACCAGGCCCCATTCGTCCCCGACCAGCCTCGCCGGGCCTACTAGCCCCACGGGTCCCTAACGACGCGCGGCCACTGCCTCGTAGACCCACGGGTTGAGAACCAGTTCAGAACGCACGGCGACAGACGGAAGCAGGTCGCATCGTTTCTTACTCCATCTCACGCTGAACACTCGAGCTCAATTTATTTTCACATTAATAGTGTCACGTTCCGCCACCCCCCCCCCCCCCCCTTGAGATTTTCTATGCTCCACACCCGGGGTGTGGCAAGTTGAGCGGCACCGTAGCGGGGCAAGGAGGGAGGGGGGGGTGATTGCCTCACCCTGCACAGCCCCTGCACGCAGATGTCGCTGGAGTCAGGTCCGCAGGGCGTCCCGTCGACCACGCGCTCCTTCAGCTGGTAGTACACCGTGGAGCCGGCCGCGCGGCAGAACAGCTTGCAGCGATCCTTCATGAGGACTGCCGACGGCGGGGGGGGGGGGGGCAGTGGGTGGAGGGGGGGGCACCACACGACGTACGGGCAGCACGGAGAGCTGGCTCGGTATTACAGATTTTAACGAGGAGCCGGCTTACATGTGGCGTGGAACAGAGGTGGTCCGGATGGGTCAGAGGTCGGATCACGACAGATTCTCTCAGATGCTCCAACACGTGCGACTCTAGTCTAGAATTGTTTTTTTTTTTATCAATCTTTAATTAAAATGTCCTCGCACAAAACTTGTAGCTGTTATGGCGAGGGAGCACTCTGCATGAGCCTGCAGCGTGAACTACGTAATTGGTCTTGCAACTGTTTGTATGTTTGTATATTTATGTGTGCGTTTAACTGGTGTGATATTCATTGTGTAAACTCATACTCGATAAGTTATAGATGTAGATGCTTGTGTAGGCGGCATTATGTGTTTGCTATGTACGTATGGATAAATCAGCACCCTGGATACCCTTGAGAATGAGATGTTTCATCTCAAGGGATTTGCCACGTGAAATATTTGAATAAATATTTTTCAAACTGCTATCACCCTGTGTCTGGGCCTAGGTAGCAGCCTGGGCCCAAATTGGCTTCTGAAATAATTTGAGGATGATACATTTGGCAACATCTCCGCACCGAGAATTGAAACATAATATCGGTTTCACTGTCACTGGAAGGGATCTCTACTGAGATATAGCTCTGTAATATCTACTTCCACGGGCTGTTCTCTAACACGGAGGATTGCACTGCTTTGCGAGGGATCCAAGGAGATATTTGTTTTCGCTCCATAACATGGCAACCATAACACAATGGAGATCAAATGGGGGAGTGGGGGGGGGATGATGAACAATATTTTATAAGAAACAAAAAAAATACTAGAATGTTGTTGCATGATGGATTGGTGTGTCTGGCACCACCATATCTGGCTAACTTTGTTTAGCCAGTGATGCTTTTTGCACGTGGCACCCAATACTCAGTCAAGGCTTAAGTAACCTGGTAGAAGCTCAGCACATGTTCAGATACCACTTGCCACTGATTTTATCCCTGCCTGGAAATCAAACCCACATGGCTGGGATCACAGCGCAGTGTATTAACCACAGTGCCACTGTGTGCCAAATGCATGCCGAGTCAAGCTCAGAGAGGCCCAGGCCAGGTTTGGATACATGTAACGTGGTGGTGGTCTGAGCAGTCACAATTAAAAAATTAGTTATTGGCATTGCAGCGCTGTGCTATGAACAATATGTCATTGTTTCCCAATGTTCTACAAACATATAAAACAAAACATGTAGATATCCAGACACAAGTACATGAACACACACAAATTAACAGCCACCTCCAAGGCACAAAGACACCCAGATGCACGTAGAAACAACCATATACACATATACACACAGACTCCCATATCTCGGTCAAAGCCAGATATCACTTGTGTAGCCTATATAGGCATTTTGGGCTAGTGTAGTTAGGGAATTCCAAACTATGGCCAGAATGGCACACGAAGGGGTGGTGTGGCCAGCACCACACCTTTCTCTCCCAAGTGGCAACATTTACACATCGCACAAGGGACTCATTTCAGGCTGAGTCAACCTAGGGAATGCCCAGGACCGGTTCAGATAATCTCGTCACTGGTGTTGGTGGCCGTGAGCGGGAATGAAACTCGGGTCGCTGGGTTCGTAGCGCAGCACACTAACCATTGCACTACTACTCCAAAGACAAAGATCTCCTGTGCAGCCTTGACAGACTGCAGGAGTGCATGAAGCTCGCTCACACACACAACCACCATTCACCACTAAATGGCGGTGACATCACCTCGGTCCTTGTGCCAGGCTATGTGCACTCTAGGGCCACGTGAAGTGTCGAATGCCCGCTGGCAGGTGGTCACGGGACAGAGCCAAGTGCCATGGGTTCACCGACTAAGATGACTGGCCGATGCACCACCTGTGCCCCCTACTGTGCCAAATTGCTGTGTTTTAGTCGCCTGGCGCTCCACTCGTTGTTGTGAGTGTTGCTCCTCTGCCCTCTGTTCTTGCTGGAGGGCGACTGCCCCAGAACTGCCCAGTAGCAGCGTCCTTCACGAGCCTCCTCCACAGAGGCGAATCTTGACATCACTGGTACCAATAATTGGCAAGACCACTCAGCTCCATATCCTCTCATGCCACACCATTACATCTCTCCTCCAGCCTGTGCCGCAACCGTTTACCCCTCTCTATCAGGCTGAATAAAAGCTGCTTGGGCATGCGGTGGCTGGGCGTGCGGTGGCTGGGCATGCGGTGGCTGGGCATGCGGTGGCTGGGCATGCGGTGGCTGGGCATGCGGGCTACATGACCCAGCCAACGCAGCCTCGCCTGCGGGAGGAGCTCACCGATGGAATGTGTCCAAACCTTTCAAGGATTTGTGATTTCCTCACACAAATCCAGCTCGGTTAAACCCGGGATGGATCGTAGGCAGGCCAGCCCTGAATGTTTCTAACTGGCGAAGATGTTCCATTGGGCAAGACACATGTTACACACGCCCACACAACGAGCATGAGCACAGAGATGCGCACGCCCCCCCCCCAAACACAGAACGCACAATGCTGCAGTGGGGCGGCACTCACTGCCGCTGTACTTGGGCATCCAGTGCACGGTGGGCGAGAGGCCCTTGATGTTGAAGTGCCGCCCGTTGAACTCGCCGCACTGCTCCTCGCGGAAGTCCCTGCGCCCCCGCGGGCACAGCTCCGTGCTGCACGAGCGGAAACGCAGCCTCCGACCCACGCAGTAGCGGCCCCCGTTCTTCGGTCTGAAGCAAGCAACGGCAGCGGCAGCAACAGCAGCAGCAGCAACAGCAGCAGCAATGCCAGCAGCAACAGTAGTAGCAGCAACAGCAGCAGCAACAACAGTAGTAGCAGCAACAGCAGCAGCAATGCCAGCAGCAACAGTAGTAGCAGCAACAACAGCAGCAACAACAGTAGTAGCAGCAACAGCAGCAGCAACAGTAGCAGCAACAGTAGCAGCAACAGCAGCAGCAACAGTAGTAGCAGCAACAGCAGCAGCAGTAGTAGCAGCAACAGCAGCAGCAACAACAGTAGTAGCAGCAACAGCAGCAACAGCAGTAGCAGCAACAGCAGCAACAGCAGTAGCAGCAACAGCAGCAGCAGCAACAGCAGCAATAGCAGCAGCAACAACAGTAGTAGCAGCAACAGCAGCAACAGCAGTAGCAGCAACAGCAACAACAGTAGTAGCAGCAACAGCAGCAACAGCAGTAGCAGCAACAGTAGCAGCAGCAACAGCAGCAACAACAGCAGTAGCAGCAGCAACAGCAGCAACAGCAGCAGCAGCAACAGCAGTAGCAGCAACAACAGCAGCAACAGCAGTAGCAGCAACAGCAGCAGCAACAACAGCAGTAGCAGCAGCAACAGCAGCAGCAACAGCAGCAACAACAGCAGCAACAACAGCAGTAGCAGCAAGAACAGCAGCAGCAACAGCAGCATCAACAGCAGCAACAACAGCAGCAGCAACAACAGCAGTAGCAGCAACAACAGCAGCAGCAACAGCAGCAGCAGCAACAGCAGCAGCAATGCCGGCAGCAACAGGGCCCTGTATTTTAATCGGCGGTCAAAACAAATCAAATCTTTGGTCCACGTGGTATCTGTGCCATTCTCGTAGCGCAAGGCGACACGAGGGCACTCTGCTTCACGTAGAGTCTGCAGTCATTGCGCAGGTCGGGTGCAAACGTTGCAAAGCGGGTTCATCCAATTAGGAAATTATGGAATAACTTTTAAACTTTATAATTCAGCAAAAATACGTACCGCAATGCTATTGGCATGAATGGCGCTAAATAAAATTAAGGTATTATTAATACGTGTGTGTGTGCGTGTGTACTATGTGAGTACCATAGCGGTCCTGGGACTCCCCTAGGTCGACTCAGCCTCAAATGAGTACCTGGTGCGGTGTGTAAACATCGCCACTGGGGAGACAAAGGCGGTCGGGCGTGGTGTTGGCCACCCACCCTCTCGTGCGCCGTGCCGGCCTTCATAGGTGCTCGCTAACAGCACTTGCCCCTACAGTCGGTTACAGGCTCTACGGGGGATCTTTGTCTTTGTGTGAGTAGTAGCGTCCTGGGGGGGGGGGGTAAGTGGGGGGGGCTTACTCTGGATGGGAGCACTCCCTTGCCGCCTGGCGGATTCCGCCCCCGCAAGAGCGCGAGCAGGGTCCAAACGGCCCCCAGGAGCCCCACTCTCCATCCACGGCGCGGTCATCCAGCTCGCGCACCACGCACAGGCCCTGCCGGCACACCTGGAGGGCACGCGCGGTCCCCCAAGTGGACAAAGATCCCCATTATAGCCTTGACAGACCGTCGGGACAAGTGCTGTTGGCATACCGTGTCAACCCGTACAGTTTATACCCGGTTTTCTTGTACAGGGAAAAAGAGTTTTCATGTCCATACGGCGTACAGCCGTTTCAATACGGGACAAAAAATCAACGTCTTTTTGTTTGTGTTTCTCCCTTGTGATGGGACTTTGTAGGATGAACGTTGAGATTTATAAAGGGCACGAGGTGACCAATAAGGTCTGAATGTGTCTGTAATAAGATAGGCACTGATAAGGGGCTGACAGGTGTGTGTTGGCGAGTAGCAACTGTGAAGGCCGGAGCAGCACACGAGGGGGTGGGCGGCCAGCACCACGCCCGACCGCCTTTGTCTCTCCAGTGATGATGTTGACACATCGCACCAGGTACTAATGTTTCAGACTGAGCCGATCTAGGTGAGACGCAGAACTGGTTCAGATAATCGTCCCTGGCGTCGGCCGTGAGCGGGAATTGACCTCGGGTCGACGGGTTCGTAGCGCGGCGTGCGCACTCGCTAACAGACACAAACAAAATCTGTGATGCTTTGCAAAATTAATAGTTTGATTTTGGGGGAGAGGCCACGTAACGATCTGGCCAGATATATGTCACAATAACCTCCAAAAATCCACAATAATCTGAAACCCAAGCGTTAAGCTGATTGTTGCAAACGTATCATATTATCAGTTTGCGAGAATGTCATTTGTTGATTCTCTGCACGTCGTAGTATCACGAGGAGATGCCGGTATTTGTGGGGATGCCACCTGCCATGGTGCAATGGGTAGCAGCACACCGGCCTTGCGATCTAGGGGTCGCCAGCTCAATTGGGCCTCTGGCTGCGGCGGTTGAAACAACGGTACGAGCTTCTCAATTTCCCCTCCCGCCTCTGTCAACCCCGCCGTATAAATGGGTACAGCACAGACAGTCGTTTGGCAGTTTGAATTTGGTGGAGTAAAGTGTTGGTACTCCCATTTCTTCCAGTACTAATTAAGACCTAAATGTCAAACAAGTGGGTGACATGTCCAGCCAACGTTATCCAAATTGCTTTCGCATCCCCAGCATTAACGGTTACACACCACACCAGGTAGTCATTTCTGGTTCAGGTAAAACTATGGGAGGCCCAGGACTGTCTGAGACATCACTCACTACTGATGAAAGCCGTGGCTGGCAATCTAGCTCAGGTTATCGGTTTTATAGCGCAGTGTGCTAACCACCCCACCAGCGCTCCCCACACATGTACACACGAGTTATCAGACTCTGTTTTTATCCTGGAGTAATACGACGAGCTATGAAGCTCGTTTTCACACAGGATGTCCAGTACAAATATATACGCACGCGCAGATTTCAGCCCTGCCAATGAGTACATTGGCTGGAAGTGTTCCGAGTTTTCGCACAACCGAGTCTGAGTTGCATGATGGTGGCTTACAGTTGCACGGGCACATTTCCAATCCGGGATGGGTTACCCAATCTGTTGGGGGGAATTCTGTTTTGAGTTAGTGTAGTGAATAAAAATAAATAAACAAGCCAAAATCTACTCCCATGTCAGGGTCAGTCAGCTCTTGGCAGCTTCTTGCTCGGAGAGTGTGGGAGTTATATCCGCAGTTCACGGAGTGGGAGGATTTAGTTTGAGGAGCGCGCTGTGAGTATCACGCAGCCACCCTCTATAATTTACTCCGCAGGAACACGGCAATCATCGCGCCCCCCCCCCACCCCACCATGCTCATGCAAAAAGTACTTGGCAGCACCCTCCTGAAAATGAGCCACGAGACCCGGTGAAGCTTCCCGAGTAAACATGTCTAGTACGATACAATTAATATACAAAAATAGCTTTAGTTTCACTGTAACATCATTTAATTTGAACTACTCTCTGTGGTCAGTTTGTTGTCCTTCCCCTGTACCTCCGATGAGCATGGTTGGCCACGTACGGTGCGACAGAAGTTCAGCATACACACGTTATTTGTTATGCATTGACATGTTACATAAAATACACATATGGTATGATTACATTGCAAAATTATGATAGGTGGGTGGCAGATTGGGGAGACCTTTGTCCAGCAGTGGATTGGTCATGGCTGATAATGATGATGATACGTGTGGTTTTTTCCACAGTCACGGAATTACAGCAAATACATTTAAAAATATATATTTCTGACATAACCCATCAGCCGCACGGCCTTCTGGAAGTGCCGAACTTCAGCAGCATTGATTCAGGACAAGCAACCTCTGGAGCGGTGTCGACACACACACAGTGTCTCATCAGCAGAGTCACGCTTGCTTGAATCAGTGGATTGAGCCAGGCCTACTGATGATGGTAACGTCTCGTTATTGACGGAGAGCCGAAGACACGCAGCCTCAGTAGGTGACTGCACGAATTCAACTGTGTTGCTTCTTCCGTTAAATAGTGCTTATCGCACACAGACTGCAACAGGGGCAAATGAAATTATTAATATCAAGATCTTTGTTCAACAGCCTGCGTCATTATAAAAGACATAAATGTACACGTAGACATTAACACTCTTTAATTATGTTGCTGCTTCTTATAGAAATATTTACATCAGCATCACAACCATCATCATCGTATTATGGAAGGACCCTAAAGACTGTAAACGTAATGCTTCTGAAAGTGACCTCACTTTGTAAACAAGTCAGCACATTCCCAATGATTTGTCAGATGAATGAGCGCTTCTGTTATGCAAAGCCATAAAAAATATTGAAAAAATTCATGTAAATGCCAAAATCTGCAAAACGCATTTGCGTGCCTATTGGGAGAGTGTACACACATATATATATCAAACAACAAACATAGTTTACAGCTCAAATGAACATGGGGGAGGGGTCATGTCTTGTCTACAGCCCTTGAGTCAGTTCTGGAAATTCCACATTCCTTCAGGGTGGGAAAGCGTTATGTATGGATGTACATTATGTTGAACTTCTCTCGCACCGTACGTAGCCAACCATCCTTATTAGAGGTGCGTTACTCCATAGTACAACAGCTGTCGAATTCCCACGAAACGGTACACTACCCACTTCATCAACTCCAAAGGGGTGAGCAGCTAATTTGACCCTCGGGTCAGATTATCAACCTTCGTACTGGTCCACTCCGTGCATTGTACGCAATTTAATTCATTAAAGCCACTTCGGACTGATGGATGCGAATCAAGGCTTGAGTCCTACCTACAACTGAGCTTCCTCTCAGTGCACATTGGCAGACATCTGTTGTTCTGTCATGGTGATGACGCATGCGCCCGTGCGCATTAAAGCAGCTGTCCGCAGATCTCATAACACAGCGCGAATAAGCGGGTCAGCTTGTCCCAACGTTACGGCCAAATAGCATGACCCCAAGCTCAGCGGCCCGGCAGCATTTGCGGCGTAAATTTAGAAACGCGCCGTATCCTTAAAAGCGCCCCGCTGTCGTGAACTTCGATGGCCACATTCTTCCGACAGCCGTGGCAGACGCAGGAGTGAAATGAGATGAATGAGCCTCCCCGCTCACCTCATCTCATCCCCTTTTATCCTCACGTGCTCTTTCCGCTCGGGGCGTGCGGTGGTTGTAGGGGCCGAGAAAACCAGTTCAGTGGTATCACTCGCCGCCGATGTTGGCCGTGGCCAGACATCAAACTCAGCTCGCCGGGCTCATAATGCAGCACGATGGCAACTCGTATGTGAACAGCATAAACAAGCAGGCAACGTGCTTCCTGCACACGTGTGTCTTTTTTGCACGTGAATCACACATCAACAGAGTTGATTTAATACAAGCAGACTCTGTGCACCGGTTTTTGACGTGCCTACTATTATAAACAGTCCAGAACTGCGATTCGAACTTGGTGATGTCTCATTAGTCCACTGCAACAACATTAACAATAATGCACACTATTGGATACACCACTGCAACGCGTAACGCGCACAGGTGGATGCTTTGCGTATGTACACGCACCCACATACTACCGGCATACTACCCAGCAGTGTCGCTAGAGTGGAGCTCGAAATCCACTGCCCTTTAGCCCAGTGCCCCTGTTAGCTTCCTTTTAACGCTACACATCCGTGACCACATGAAAATAAAATAAAGCAGAGAAAATAAAAAAAACGTCCACATTTTTTTTAATGTCCCCTCCGCGAATAAAACACAAAGTACAGCAACTCATGTGTGCACCGATTCTTTTTTTTGTTGCTTGCTTTAAATTGGCATTCCTAATTGCTAACTCATGGGCATGAAGGTGAACTCGCACAACTCGTGCCAAGTGCCCGGTTGGGGCGATGGGGGGTGTGGGGTGTGCGGTTATTACCATGCCCTGGCCGCAGTCCGTGCCGTCTGCCAGGGGCATGTGCTGCGTGCGACAGCCCATGTTCACGTCCTCGGCGCTGGTGCACCAGAGACGCCTGCACTGCCTCTGCACGCGGCGGCGGGCGGGCGGGCGTCGTGTCCCACAGCGGCAGGGGGACGGGTGATGGTGGGCGCGGGGGGGGGTGAAGGGGGAGAGGATACGGCGGTCAGGAGGTCAGGCGAGAAGCAGGCGGCACAACGCATCGTAACTGTGATAGTTGTCATTGGAAGAGTATTCATGCATACCGGAGGAATCCGATGAGCTACGAAGCCGAAGCTCTTTTCGCAGATGTCCAGGAGATATTACCATGATCCCTACAATGTTATAATCATCATTGTCATTATCTTATTCTTAGGTTTTTTCGGTAAAGTCACGTAGGTAAAACCTGAAGACGGAAGCTTGTGTTGCCTCCGAAACGTCGTGATTTTTATTTTATTTTTATTTTACTGTTATTAATTTTAATTTTTTACCTACGTGACTTTACCGAAAAAACCTAAGAATATGAATCCTTGCAGTCACGAAAGCTTAAAATCTATAATTGTCATTATCTCTCCATTATCGAGTGAAGGTATTCCCTTGCATTGGCACCACCGCTTTTGGTCAAGAGATGCCATGAGCCACCTCGCTCTTCTTGCACATGAGTGCCAATCTTATAAACAGACTCAGCTACTGGCCATCAATCCCTTCGAGATGATGGCTCCTGCTCAAGCCCACTTGTTTTCTTTTCCGAGTCTTATCAACATTTGTACACTGACCCTCATGCTCCTCTTTCTGTCACTCAACGTAACTCTGGGCACGCATTTTTCCCATGCTTATGTTGCCAATTTTCAGCTTTTATTTCATACCCCGTAATTACAAAGCACTATATTTGCACGTACATTCAAGCGCATTGATATTTACAGTATATAGCGTTGTGCATTGTTACGCACATATTAAATATACGCACATGCACAAATGTATCGTTTGAGTGCACACCCAAGATGTTTGAGAGAGCACGTGGTAAGCTCGTGCAGTCTACCACGCAATATCGCACCCATCGGGGTGACCCAATCCAGAATCAAACTGTGAGCATAGTGTAGCAAACTTTGTGTGTGAAACACACCACGGGTCAAGAGTTCACAAAAAAACGGAGAGCTCCTTCTTACTTGTAATCTACGGTGACTACGAGTTAAAGTTATCTATCGACAGACTAAAGTTCTCTACCATCGTCTAAATACGTCAAGATATTCGCTTGAAGATAACAGAAAGCAAAACTCGTGGGTTCCTTCCAACCGAACGGATAATTAAATATCAGACACTGAAGAGGCGGCTTCCCACAAAGCCACTCTATCTGTGCCCCAAAATCAACTCACCCGCTGTGGTTAATTGGGCGGAAATAAAGCGGCCTACGTGCTCGGCCACCAAAAATAATGCTTAGAAACCCCCCCAACCCAAAAAAATCCTTTCAAAGTTGCATGGACAATTTCATAAATTAAAGCCACTGCAACTCATACCTTGCCATCAAAGAGGAGCTGCTTTAATTTTATATTTGAACAGGAAGGCATTCATCATGCATGGTCCCAGGAAAAGCTGTGCATTGGACAAACAAAAGGCTACAGTCTCCAGTTTCGATTCTCACTGCCCTCCCCTTGTGCTGCGTGGGCTTTATAATTAGAGGTGGTGCATGTGAGGTGTCTTTGTTAGCATGGCAGCGTATGTATGCATTGCACGCGTGCAATTAAACGTGGATGTCTGCATGAGTGTGTTAGGGACATGCGGAGCGGTGGCACTGTGGTTAGCACTGCACTGCACTGCACGAGGAACCAGTGAGCCGAGTTTGATTCCCAGTCAACGGCTAACATGGGGCACGCATGTGGTATCAAAACCCCGTCCCGAGACTCGCCTAAGTCGATGAAGCCTCCAAATGAATACCTGGTGTCACGTGTGTGAACACAGTGGTGCTGCGCGCACCACCATCGTATAGCAGACAACGTGAGACGTAGTATGTCACCACCCAAACGTAGCATTGTTTTGAGGGAATGCTTCTCCAAATGTGCGATTCCAGCTGTCCAATGCGTGCATGCAGAGCCGCGTGGCGGATACAGTGATGCCTTGCCCGGGTGTGGCTGTCACTTCTCCTTGCCTGAAGCGATCGCCACAATACCCCAGTGACTCCATTCATTGTCATCATTCGGGGTCAAATTGCATTCAAGGATTCATTCTCTTTTGTATCTATTTCCCGTGTCCATCGCAATTAAAATCACTGAACTTCGAGCCCTTTTGTCAATCCAACTCAGGATGAATGCCTCCCCATGCACGTGTTGGTTATGGGGATTATTTTGACCGTACTTCGCCACGCATGTCAACGCAGGTTAGTGAAGGGGGTATGTTGGCGACCCAGGACTGATTGTGACGTCACACGCCGTCAATCAGAGGTCGCAACCGGGTACCCAATACCCGTACCCTACCCGATACCCGGCTACCCGGCCGGGTACGGGTACGCGTTTGCGACCCTGGTGCGGCTGAGTACGGGTACGGGTAGGCCGTGAGTCACTGGTGAGTAACCGTTTGTCACTCATTTCTGGTAGGGTACGGGTACGGGTAGCATACGGGTACCCATACCCGGCCGGGTACGGGTACCCGTTTGCGACCCTGGTGCGGCCGGGTACGGGTACGGGTAAGGAACCAAAACCTGTTTGCGACCTCTGCCATCAATGTTAGCCGTGGCCGGGATTCAAACTCAGGTTACCGTGCTATGGAGCACAGTGCGCTAACTGCCGTGCTTACCACATTGCAACTGTCGTTGTTATTTCTCTCCCGCTAGTACAGTTTGCTCACTGCAGCAGCATAAATTGAACGTGAGCGTGTAATTTGCACACACCATAAAATAACTGAATCTCGCACGCGCAGTTACATGCACGTCTCATGACCGGAGCGACACATTTTGACCTCTGAACCGATGCAATGCTCCTCGTCCGCTGGCTAGCGGTGGAGCCCAGGAGCGAGTGCCGCGATGTGCCCACCTTGTTTGTAAATATTGTTTTGGCTGTTAATGGTGTGTAGGAGCGCCGCGGTGGTCAAATGTTAACTATCTCGCCCGGTATAAGGGAGGTCATAGGTCCGATCCTGACTCTGATGCCTGCTGTATATTTCGAGTTCGTGGTATTTCTCTCTTCCCGTGGTCACGTGGATTTTTCTCCGGGTCCTACGGATTTTCCCCTCCACATTTCGAATCAACATGTGTTTGGAGCGTTTGGCTGCTATAAATTTACACATGATGGGAAGCCACTTCATTGAGCTATTATTTGTGATGTCTAGGTCACGCCTGAAAAAAAGAGCTATACTGCTGAGTGGGCCTTACCTGGTAAAATAAATAAAATTGTTGCAATAGTGTTGTCAGTATGTTGAACGTGTAAGGATTGTTTTGGCCGACCGTCATGCTAATCGGAGCACCACTCACCATGTACGGGCACACCTGGGTGCCCGGCCCGAACACCAGCTCGCACTGACGGTTGGCGTTGTACAGGTGGCCCGGCGACACCTGGGGCAGGTCGTAGCGCTGGGCCGCCGGCTCGTCCAGCAGACATTCGCCATACCCTGCGCTGCAGATTCATTCATCGATCGTCATCATCATCATCGGCTCACGATTGTCACGGAGTCGCCGCGGGGTCTGGCGTCGCGATGTCACAGCAGCCCCGCAATACATCACACCCACCCACACCCCCTCGCACTCACCCACCTCCACCAACCCCCCCACCAACCCCCCACCAGCGGCAACACAGCTTTGTATGGGCGACGTAGTTTTTATTCGCGTGCTCTCACCATGTGGTCATTTAACAGACTAAGCTTGGGTCCAGAATAGCTAGCGGACACGTGCGGGTGCCACTCCGCACGCAGGCGCCACTCATTCGTACATCACCCACAGCTGTGGGCGCGGCGAATGGTCCAGCTTGCACTCCTTGAACGTCGCTCAGCCACTGGTGCTATTCCTCGAGTCTGTCCCCCTTCCAAGGGAGGGTGCTATGCCACCGGTGATTCCTTGTTGATCAATAGCGCCCAAAGACACGAGCAGTGCGGTGCACTTCACAATGAAGCTGGTAGTTATTCCTAGATCCATTAACGAGCGGTGTTGACTTAGACACACCGCAACCACACTGATCAGCGTGGTGGCGCACGATCAAGCCACTACGATGACCAACACGCTATGGGGAGGCCTTCATCCAGCAGTGGATTGATAAAGGGCTGCTAATTATTCTCATCGTTTTATTTTTGTATAAGTACTGTCTCGAAATTTTAAGTTCCATAGAGTGTTTTAATGACATTAAAACGAACTATTGAAACTGCTGTACATTAAAACAAGTTACGTAAGTTATTTATTTGAAAAAAAATCACAGTGTGCTCTTATCATTTGGTTTAGTGGGGACAAAAAACAATGTATTTTAAATTTTGTTTATTAAAGTAACTATATCAATCATCGTTAAATCGAACCAAAACTAATCCTTCTAGAATTTCCCTTTTTTTGAAATATGCACCCGCAGGGCATTTATGAAATTCTCCAGAATGGATTTAATAATCATCGCCTGATTGAACACAATTAAACCCATACCTTACGCGGCGTGCGTCCGTGGCCTTCGGGCAATATTAAACGCCCCCCTTTGAAAAAAGAAAATGTAAATGGAACATTCCACGGAGTGGTCCTTACATGTGTTGTGGCTGCCACATCAAAGGGGGGGCAAACGTTCGTCACAGAGGGTTACATCTACATTGTAGGGGAGGGGGGGTGGTGGGTGTTGTTACATGTCAGGGGTAGAACACAAGGGTCAATTTATTTCCCATGCCCCCATTTCAAAATGAATTTCCCTCCTATGTAGCAAGGATACACACAAACAAAGACAAAGATCACCCATATGGCCTTAACAGACTGTTGGGGCAAGTGATATTAGGGAGCACCTATGAAGGCCGGCACGGCACACGAGGGGGTGGGTGGCCAGCACCACGCCCGGCCGCCTTCGTCTCCCCAGTAGAGATGTTTACACACCGCACCAGGTACTCATTTGAGGCTGAGTCGACCTAGCGGAGGCCCAGGACCAGTTCAAATGATGATGCACGTGAGTGGGAATCGAACCCCGGGGCGCCGGGTTCGTAGTGGAGCGCGCAAACCGCGACACTGCAGCACATATGCACTCATGTCGATTAATCACAAATTAAACCCAAATTATTTAATTTGTCCTCTAAGGGGGCTTGAACGACTGCATAGCGATCCCCACGCCGCGTTGGAATTGAGTTGATAGGAAGGCCGCATAACGTACTTGACAAGCAATGTAGTATCTTGATGGGTTATGGCGCACTCTCCGCCTCATAGCGGTAATTTTACACTTCCAACCACCCCCAACCACATGCCGTGTCACGACCGGCCCTTGCGTCAACCCTGCGTGACAATGCGGGCGCAGTGTGGCAGTGCAAAGCGATCTGCTGGAGGGCTTACGAACGGGCATATGAGGTTGTACGTGGAGAGGCCGTATGCCCGAGTAGTACTTGTGAAGTTGGAAAAGTATCAGAAAGGACAATGATGTATATATGTGTACATTTCCATTGAAAAGCGAACTGGAATGGTCAAACGCTTGATAAGGATATGGACTCATATTCTTAGGTTTTTCGGTAAAGTCACGTAGGTAAAACGTTAAAATTGATAAATGTAAAATAAAATAAAAATCACGACGTTTCGGAGGCAACACAAGCTTCCGTCTTCAGGTGGAACCGTCACAGCCACGACAGCTGTATCAAGTAAATGAGAGATTGCAGGAGCTACCACTCCGTTTATATAATGGTTGGAGAAGGGGGGGGGGGGGTAAGGGCCAAATACAGCACACTTTTTATTAATACGGTAAGGTGAGGCTCAAGAGGGTGAGCCTTTGTTATGGAGAGGTACGGTTTGTGACTCAACCTGTGACAAGGAGACAACCACTAAACATGGTAAGTTAAATCTTTTTTGCATGGTTAATCACATCTTTCCAATGATTACTGAGTTTGTAACCATCATCACGGTTGAAATTAGCTTCAAATCTAGAAGGATATGGACTGTATCATCACCACTTGCCATTGCATACCCGCTGCTAGATGAAGGTCTCCCATACCATCGCCATCCCTCACCGCACGGTGATGCCGCACACCACGTCACCACCTGGGCTTGAGCTGATCTTACCGCTCCATCTCCACCCTTGCACACGTTTCTCCCATTGGCTGCACTTCCGTCACGAGTCACCGTCCAATCGGCTGTCATCACAGCTCGCCACCCGTCTTGCCCAAGACCGCTAACCTTTCCCATGAATTAGCGAGTTAACATGAGCTTTCTGATTTGCATTTGCTCCCTTATTCATATGTTCCTATGTCTGTCGCTCGATGTAAGGGCAAGCATTTGACTGATTGTGTATGAGCAAATAAATAAAAAACTAAAACAAGTTTTTTTTTTACTTAATTGTATACACAATTATTGATGTCTGCCTGCTGAGTCACCTTTGAAGAAGAGCTTCCTTAGCACAATGGGAATTACTTGGGAAATCAACTTCTGATTTTTATTGTACGCAGATAATTTGCATAAATTAACATAATGATATACACGTTTATAATCCCCTATTTTGAATAAATAACAAAAAAACTGAGATAATGAATTCAAATTTGTTTTGGAAGTCAACAGTGCATGGCATCTGGACAGCCTAACCCTTGCCATAGAAACGCAGAATTTCCATCACGAGTTCAGAACCATCAATAGAAAAATGTGGACTGCCAAACGCTCGTTTGAGAAAGCAGTATCTTTTACGTTGATAAAATTTAGGAAAATAGAATGAATGTTTATATATAACATGTAAGATATATGCAAGTTATATAATACTACAATAACATAATTCACAGGGAAGTAACGAACAAAGTCCACAAAATCGGACCAGTTTATCAGCAATATGACTACCAGGCTTCACACCCACATTCATAAACAAGACCATATCACTCCGATGTTCAGATCTCTGCGCTGGCTCCCAATCCGATGGCAGATTAATCACGAGACCACCCTCTGTGTTTTCAAAATCAACCGTGGTGTCACCCCTCCCATCTGCCTTCCCCCCCTCTCCCCTCTCATCTCGTTCTACTTCCCTACCCTGGGCTCTCCGCTCTGGCAACCACAGCCCTCCTCTCTCGATACCTCGAGCTCAACGTGTGGTCAATCCCCCTATTTACTTCTTTGCAACCCCCTTGATGAAATTCCCTGCCCCCAAGCAGTCCAAGTTGCCAGCTCTGCTCTCCTCTTCAAGTTCACGCACGCGCACACAATGTGACTGAGCAGGCCAATTGAAGTGACTACAGAAATACCTCCTTGGCATCATCGTTCGGGGCAAGTTCGCTAATATACTCGGTGAGCTGCTTGCTGCGAGAGTTCTAAATGCAAATGACGTCCGCTTCATATATTGGGGAGAAAGAGGAAAAACGAATTAAAAGTTTAGGATCAAGACCTTTCTCTCCCTCTCCTCCTCCTCCTCCTGAAATTGCCTTTCCCTCATAAAAAAATGTATTCTGAGCCACTACCATCCAGATGCCCTCAACAGCTTCATCAAATACATCCCCCCCCCCCCCAGGACCTATTCCCCATTTTCCCACCCACCACCGTACACCGCCGCACGCATCTCTTTTTGCTCACTTAAATCTTCCCGAGAATGATAAAAAAATTCTTTTTAAAGAGCAGCAACACACAACGAAGCGTGCCGGAGGGAATAGACGGCGACAACGATGCGAGGCTACCGTGCGAGGTCAAGTCGAGGAAGCTGTGATGTTTATGACACGCAACCGGGATGGACGGTGTGACGGGAGGCAGATGATCAAAGCACGCTGATGGAAGGTGCTCAGGGAAGAGGAAGACCACGATCTGATTGGACGTCAAACATCAAACGCCAGACGGGATGGACGTTGCCTCTGTTGAAAGACGCAGGGCTGACTGGCAGAGAGAAATGGGAGAGAGAGAGAGCACTGCACGGGGATATCAGTGCAGGAGATGGTTGTGCCCCAACAGGAAGAAGAAGAAACGTGTGGTTAGATTTAAGTGCTTTGTAAATCCCCAATTTGTACGTGTGCATGTTGGACTACTTTTGTACCGTACGTAGCCAACCGTGCTAATCAGAGGCGCGGCGAGGACGGTACAAATAAACTAAACACAGAAAGCAGTTCTTAAGCAACGAGTTTTCAATCGAGATTTGAAAGTGCATCGCTCCGGTGGCTTCCTAATCGCAGAGTGAATGCTGAAGTGAAAACGTGCGTCGGTTCTTACTCCAGGAATTCCGTGATGTACTTGCGGCTGCATTTGGACCAGGTCCACGGGTGGGTCTCGTAGTTGAGGGTGGGAGCCATCACGTTGAACTGGCCGTTGGAGAGGAGGTCCTTGCACTTGGGGCTGTCATCATGGGGCATGTTTAACCTGCCCAAGGAAAACACAGCGCAAAAAAATAAAAATCAGTTCACTTCACACGCGGGTTTTTTTTCGCACCCAATATTACGATTCCTGATCCGCTTTTTGGACTAGGCCGCACAACGATCTGGCCCAGTTTTTGACAGATTATTGCAAGACGTACAGGCAATTATGATCCGACTCAAGTTCTATTTCTCCAAAAACTGAATCTACAAAACTGACGGAACCCTATTTTACACCAAATTATATCAGAAAATACACGTTCGATGAATTTGACGAGCAGGCGTAAACCATCCTCTTATGTTTCTTACCTGCGCATTTACATACATGTAGTATAAATTGCAAATATGTAAATGTGAGCGCGTGAGCGACAGACACAAAGGATTTGAGAGCTATATGACGTATTCATAACAGCTTGCAAAAAATCTTTACTTACAGCTTTCGTGATTGCAGGAATTCATATTCTTTGCGTCTTTCGGTAAAGTCACGTAGATAGGTTCAAAGAAAATAACAAAAAAACTACGACGTTTCGATCGCAACACAAGCATTCTTCCTGATAACGACCGCTTGTGTTGCGATCGAAACGTAGTAGTTCTTCTTGTTATTTTGTTATTTTATTTGAACCTATCCTCGTGACTTACCGAAAAACCCAAAGAATATGAATAAGCTTTCAAAAACCTTGTAAAAGTGTTGTTGTTTTTATTGAGGAGTTCTAGGGTTACACTCTAACGGTATAATGCCACTGGTGCTTTGATTCGTTTATTTAAAACTCCACTCTAAATATCCGTTGACCAGTCCTGTCATCGCATACAGGATGAACACGTATATCACAACTTCAGAGAGAGAGAGTGAGTAGTAGTGTGCTGCTCATGTCAGGCAGGTTATCTTCGCGAACTGCATGGGCCAGCCTGGTGAGGCACGGTCACGCATATTTCAAGCGACGACGGTTTATGGTGGAGGCAGGCAAGAGGGTGGCTCTGATAAGAGGGAACGGACACGAGAGGACGTCCTCCGTGGACATGAAGCAGCCAAGTTTGCTCGTGCGCCAGAGATAGTTAGATTCCTGTGTCGCGACACCATTTTCATCCAGCAGTGGAAACATCATGTGCCGATGAAGATGTATGTATGCATGTATGTTGAGCTGTTTTTCACACCGTGCATAGCCAACTGTGCTAATCGGACGTCCAGGGAAAGGACAGCAAACTAAACACAAAAAGGAGTTCTAAAGAAATGAGTTTTCAATCGAGCTCCAGTGGCTTCCTAATATCGGATGGAAGAAGCGTTCCAGACGGCCGCAGAAGCGCATCTGAAAGTGCGCGATGCGGTGATCGCCTCGTTGGATGGCCAGCCAAAAGCCGATGGATAGCCATTGGATGATAAATGCATTACAAAACTATGAACGTTACATTCTTTTTACTGGGACTACGCTGACGAGAAGATCCAGAGATGTGATGCTACTGCCGTTCTTCTATGTGGGCACGAAAACAACAACAGCAGCCACTGTTCGCCACTAACTGGCGGTGACATCACCGCCGCGCTTGTGCCAGGCCCTGCGCACTTTGAGTGTGTGTACATATAAACACACGCACGCACACAATGCGCACGGATACACTGTGAACGAGCAAATACATTTTTTTTCCCTTTCAAGATAATAAGGTAAGCCGATCTACGGGTTTAGACTAAGCTTAATCTGAGCTGGAGGTGCTAGGGGTTTGGCCATGAGCCTAACAGCAGTGGACAGCATCGGGACCACAGGGAGGCAAATAGGTGCACAGTTAAACAACACGCAAAAAAAAACAAGGGTTGCATGCCTCCGGTTTTTCGGAGCCGGCGTGTCTGGAATTTTTCACATGATTTTTTGCGAGCACAATCTCCGAACGGATAGGCTTTAAAACAAAGCTCCTCTGTCAGTGTTTTTAAATCTGCTGGCCGGCAAGCTCCGCACGGGGGCAGAGGTCAGATGCTGATTTGACGTGACAAAAGCACACACAAAATGCCTCACGTGAACGGACCAGAATTGCTAACTGCTCTGCAGCGAAACCCAAACGGAGAAAAGGAAGGAAAAAAAAATCTTGGTTTATTTTTCGTGGCAAGAATGGGAATTGCCAAAATTATTGCTAAACCTGTTTTTTTAATATAATAATGTGTTCTCGTAATAGTCCTGAGATGGCCACGATAGCTCAAGTGGTCAGAGTGGTCTGTGTAGCTGTCAGAGCAATTTGTTTATTTAACAAACAACAACTAGAAAAACTTCTCTCCAATTTGGCAGAAGAAGCTGAATTTCATGTGGTGGGCAGCTGATGCATTCCCGAACGATAAACATCACCCCAAAGCATTGTTTACCCTCTTTAGTTCTTGTCTGTTTCACAATTGTATTGCAATTACACTATCTGTGTCATGTCATGAGATTATGAAATACAAGGTGCTTCAAATTTGTTTTAACATTTACGTGGGACGATTGTTTTTAATGGTAAAAGAACGGATACTACACCGTGACATGATAACAAATGTATGTTGATAGCTTGAAAAAGTCTCCACTTGCTCGCCATCATAGTCAACGCGTTGCCTGGAATCTTCTCCAGGTGGTCTCCAGAGCCCGGATGCACATTTTTTGTGGCGTTGTTGCAAATTCTCAGAAGTGTTAACATTTTTTTGAAGCACGCTGCATTGAATATGAACTCTATCGAGCTCCGTGCCCTTGCTCATTTGGAAAATTTAGAGAATGGCTCACAGAAGGCGATGATAGAGATCCACTTCTTTAATCGCTTCAAAGCGATCTTCAATCCACGAGAGGGGAGCCGCACTGTTTCCAACACGCTCCGCTATCGAGACGTCCGTCTCGTAGCAAGTAAAAAAAATTAAAAATCAAAGCTTAAATGTCGTCAAATTAACTGAACCAAAATTGATGATTTCTGTGCCGTCATTGGTGACTGGATGGAGTCTATCAAACTGTCACACTTGACGACCTGGTTTGATCACAAGGGGCTGACACCTGGACTCGATCTCAGGTGTCAGCGTCACTGGCTCATCGCTCTGACCGCTGGCCTTGTTGATGCTCTACGAAGTGATCAGCAAGCACGGGGATATATTTAACGGAGATATTCTCTGCCTCTTGCCCACAGGACAGCATTTTTTTTTACCTACAAATGAGTTTCGTTGAAAAAGTCACACACGGGGTCATATTGATCCGTAGCAGGATTTTAACTTTGACCCCGAGGCTAATATCCTGCTCTTATCAAAGTGCATCCTGGAATTTGATATTGTCCTCTGGATAGATAAGACCTCTGTTTAATAAGTGTTCCAAAAGGGAACATTTTGTACTGCACATTACATATTGGCATCATGCCTTCTGTAAAGCACATCTAATTTCTAATAACACAGTAATTATAGTGGTCACTGTTACTCAATGATACAATTACGATGTGCGCTCAGTTTGAAAGACAGGGGTGATGCATTGAACTGTTGTGAAAGGCGTCTAGAGGAGGGGAACATGCCGGAGAGGACGACTATCACGGAGATGGAGCAACGAAATCGCCCCATGGAGCAGGAGCGAGAGGGGGCCTTAGCATCGTGAGGATGGATAAAATGTGGGGAGACCTTCACCCAACAGTGGATAGATACTGGCTGCTGCTGATGATTTGCATCATAAGCCTGGTCTCCCTTAATTAAAGAGAGACTTAGCAATAAGTGGGGGGTGGGGGGTGGGTTATTCCCAGCAGCTGCTTCTGCAAAGACCTCTGGAGCCTACGTCGGAGGGCAGGAGCTCCGTGTTGATGCTTTCTCTCCTGTTTGCCCTTAATTAGACGTGCGCCTCTGCTCTTGTTTGTCAGCAAATGTTGCCCACAAAACACAGAGGGGGCCTCTGGCCTGCCCCTGGCCAACATCCCAGGCCCCGGATTAGCACAGGTGTGTTTGTGTCCCAAATAAAGCACATCAGACCATTCCAGCTCCCACACGACCACTGCCATGATCCCACTCCTGCCCCTGCAGCAATGTTAACTTTGGGGAGGCGCGACTGATGTGACACTCATGAATGACCATGGGTACAAAGAACCCCCGTATACTATTATTATTTTATTTTATGTTACCAGGCAAGGCTCACTGACATATATAGCTAATTTTCAGAAGCGACCTAGCCACACATGACAGCTCAACAGAGTGGCATATCACGTGGAAATATATAGCAGCATCCAAATACTCTCAATGCATGTTGATTCTAAGTGTGGAGGGAAAACCCGGAGGACCCGGAGAAAAATCCACACGACCACAGGGAGAGAGACATGCAAACTTCAAATATGCAACAGGTATAATCAGGGTCGCGATCAAACTCACGACATCCTGTTTACCGGGCGAGGTAGTTAGCATCTCGCCACCGTGGTACCCACAGCCGTAGCATCAATGCCAGGGGTCAGTTTTAAAATAATGTACCGCTGCATGAGCGTGACCCTAAGAGAATGACACCTATTTTTCAAGCTTCCCTGGTGTGATGGTCAGCAAACTGGACTTGATGGTGCACGTTTCTGAAATCCCACCCCGCCTCTGTTCACTCAGTGTGTGCTCCCACAGCTAGTCGATCAGCAGACCGTCGTGTGGTGGGATAAAGTGTGGTGGGGTAGAGAGTGGTGGGGTAGAGTGTGGTGGGGTAGAGTGTGGTGGGGTAGAGTGTGGGTGGGGTAGAGATTGGTGGGGTAAAGAGTGGTGGGGTAAAGCGTGGTGGGGTAAAGAGTGGTGGGGTAGAGAGTGGTGGGGTAGAGTGTAGTGGGGTAGAGTGTGGTGGGGTAGAGTGTGGTGGGGTAGAGTGTGGTGGGGTAGAGTGTGGTGGGGTAGAGTGGTGGGGTAGAGTGTGGTGGGGTAGAGTGTGGTGGGGTAAAGTGTGGTGGGGTAGAGTGTGGTGGGGTAGAGTGTGGTGGGGTAGAGCGTGGTGGGGTAAAGTGCGGTGGGGTAGAGTGTGGTGGGGTAGAGTGTGGTGGGGTAGAGTGTGGTGGGGTAGAGTGTGGTGGGGTAGAGTG